TGCAGAAGGGCTGCACCTCTCAGATTCTGCAGGCAGAACTACACAGTGGTACTGCCACTTGGGGATACTTTTTGGCAGTTTCTTAAAAAGGTAAACATCCACCTGCCTTATAACCCAGCTATTCCACTTCTGGGTATTCATCCACGAGAAAAGAAAGCATACTTAGTATATTGCTTAAACAATTTTTAAGTTTTTCTGTACATTGTGATATTTCCACATCATAAAAATACTTTCTGGCTAGCAGCAGAACACCCCTTCCCAAGTGAGCCATTGTTAGAGACAGCAAAGAGCCAACTCTTTATAATTAAGAGCCACTTTGAAATTACTTAAAATAGTTAATCCTAAACCTTTTACCCCATTCTATCTTGCAGAACCTCCAATAAGGCCATGGCCTAGGCCCTTTCTGCATTCCTGCCTTTCTGCCCTGGGTATTTCAAGCCAAAGTGTGAACAAGGCACCATTTTCCCATAACCCAGAATCCACTTCTATCAGTCAGAGTGCTATCAGAGAAGCAGGGCCACTGTGGACACAGATGGTTAAGAATTGAGAGAGGGATTTTGAGAGCCAGATCTGCCCACAGTCTTGATAGGGACTGTAGGATGGTCTCCAGGGAGGCTGATGGGTGCAAACTGGGGGAGAATCGGACAAGATGAGGCCCACCAGAAGAGACCAGAACCATGAGGTGTTCTCAGTGCCTGCAACCTTGACAGTATGGGTGTCCCATGGAAGAATTCGGCAGCCTTCCTCACAGGTTAATCATACACCTGTCCCAGGTATGGGAGGAGCCAGGGAAAAGTAGAGGAATGTTGGTCCAGCTGCTGTTTCGTGCCCATGAGGAAAGCCCATGGACGAGTGACAACGCATGTGAGCTACAAACACACCTGTCCTGAACTTCCACCTGCTTTGGTTTATGATCAAATTTTTAGACCAAAATACCCATGTGACTCACCCTAACCAGAAGCATCCAGAGAATGCAATGCTGGGAAACAAATTTGAACCTCGCCCAGTCCGCACATGACCTGAGCTGAAAGGGAAGTTGTGTATCCTATAAAATAGGGGTCTGTTAGTAGAAGCGATGCATACTGGGTGGGCAGGTAGCTGTGATGGCCACCATCTCTAACTCTTTGTAATATCTCCAGTGCCAGATACATGGAAAGTGTTCAAACACACTCACGTATACAAATGTATATGTACAGCCAGACAGGAAGGGTGGCAGGCAAGCAACTACTTGGCTTTAGAGAGAACACAATCAGTGGTTAAGAGTACAACCCTGGATTCATATCTTGCTTCTATGACTTAATTGATATATAACCTTGTAAAAATTATCTCCCAATGCCTTAGCCTCCTCATCTGTAAAATGGAAATAATATCAGTTCCCACTCTACAGGGTTATTATGACAATTCAGTGAAATAGTGCTTGGAAAACCTATGCATCTGCCTGCCACAGAGTAAATTCTCACACCTTTTAAACAGCAGTACTAATCTTTCTTGATAGTCCCTCATGTGATAGGAATACTTGGGTAAAACTTTCATGGATCCAGTCTAGTCAACAGCTTTGGAGATTTGACTCTAGTTGTCTGTGGACCAGATTAAATAAAGAATTAAAACTTTCATTATAAACTACAAAGTCATATGCCACTATTATTAGTGACAAAGGAATAGTTTTTAGTGTTAAATGCTCTGAGGGCTACAGGATAGATAAAGCCCAATAACACGGAGATACTGTGATGAGACTCCAAAGACATAGGCAAAAAGCTTCAAAGAAATAGATCATATATAGTTTACTGAGATCTGGAAAGTTTTCATGGATGAGTTAAATTCAGATTGTCAACAAAAAAATAACAACTTTGAATTTTAAAAAAAACTGGTTTATTTTGAGCCCAATGACCATGCTTTGGGAACATAAAGTCAAGTTAACAATACAAGCTCCCCAAGGACATGATTCCCTCAAGGACATGGTTCTTCCATGATGAAATCATGCAAGTCTTTCATAATCCCCCCAAAGTAGGTAGGGTCATCAGGTAATCAAGTTACATAAAAAAGGGGGAATCTTCCAGATTCAGATGCTTTCAATTAAAAAAAAAAAAAAAAAAAAAACGGAAATTTCCTACAGAAGTCAGGTGCTATCTCCTTCCCAGCCTGAAGATTTAATAGAGGACAGAGGTCCCTCAAGTGTGGCATATGCTAATCCTGTAGACACAAAAATGCTAGGTCAGACACAAAAGCTGATGGTCAATGGCTGTTAAAGGGACCTAAAACAGTCCAGTACAACTCAGTCTTCTTAGTTTAAATACTTCATCTCTCCACGAGGTTTTGATACTCCAATTGGTGACATTCAAACAAACCAAAGTTCTCAAACACAAACATGTCCTCTTTGAATTTTTAGCTTGCAAGATGGGTTTTGTGCTGAACAGGGTTGAAGGGAGACCCTGCGAGGATGAGACCAGAGACACAGGAAAGCCTGTGGCATACCTGGAAATGTTTTGAACTGGAGAAGAATGGGTTGTAAAATAAATAGTAGTGTTGGGACCACAGCTGGACTAACATCAAAATGAAGAGGCTACAGTAGACCGTGGAGAATCATTGGTGATTCTTTAGCAGGGAAGTTTGAGCTCAGAGGGCACATCAAATGGATCTCCTTGTGATGTGCAGGACGGGATGGATAAAATGGGAGTCCATTTAAAGGACTGTCATCCTAATGCTCAGGTGAGTCAGTGGGACAGTGCAGAGGCAAGGGAGTGGAAGAGAAAGAACTTTATTATGAAGAACCAGCTGATTGGAAGATGGCAAATGATCATCCTAAAGGACCATCTTGCCAGAAAGCTGATTCAGGAACAACTATATAGGAGATGCAGACTGGTGGGTACATTCTCACAGGTGGAGGTCGGTAGTAAGATGACATATATCTGGGATTTTTGTTGTTTTGTGGGGGGCAGGGACTGAACCTATGGGGACTTAACAACTGAGCCACATCCCCAGTCCTTTTTAAATTTTTTTAATATTTATTTTTTAGTTTTGGGTGGACACAATATCTTTATTTTTATATTTATGTGGTGCTGAGGATCGAACTTAGTGCCTCATGCATGCTAGGTGAGCACTTTACCACTGAGCCACAACCCCAGCCCCGCCCCAGTCTTTTTTTATATTTTGTTTAGAGACAGAGTCTCAGTTGCTTAGGGCCTTGCTAAATTGCTGAGGCTGGCTTTGAACTCACGATCCTGCCCAAACGTCCCCAGCTTCTGGGATTACAGACATGCACCACCATGCCTGGCTACACATCTGGTCTCAATTACCTAGTCACAAGATGTTTTTCAGTTCTTCAAATCTCAAGGAAAAAAAAAAAAGTTTATTTTTGTCCTCAGCTTTTCTTATTATTGATTAGTTTGTCTATATGCACTTCCTGGTGTTATACACAATGGATAGGCTAGAGGGGTAACTGCCCAGAGACTCTGTTGTTCTATCACCACACTCACAGTAATGAAAGAAAACATACTTGACCCCATTATTGTGAAAGACAGGTTTGGGTGAAGTTATATATGGAGCTGAGCGATCTGATCTTAATGTATGGCTTCTGTGGGAGAAGAGGAGCCATGGAAATGGAGCAAACATTATCCAGGCAATACTCTTTTTTTGAGTATGGGATTCATGGACAAGTCAAAGTTTTACATACCCAAGACTTGTATCCTGGATGAGGGGAAGGATGTGGTATTAAGAGGCCACTCATTCACTCAATAAAAACTTGTTAATATCTGGTAATGTGCCTGGCACTGAGGAGGTTCGGCTGTTTACAAGGCAAAGCCTGTGTCCTCATGGAGCTTTAATTACCGCGGTCATTCCTGATCAGGGCATGGAAGTCTGCAGAATATCTATTGGGAAGAGGGAGACGAAGCAGAGCAAGCAAAACAGAAGTGAGGATAGAACAGCAAGGACCAGGCGTAGAGTCACGAGGAGGGGGTCCTGGGGGGGCCAGGTAGCCAGGCTTTGTGAAAGTTGAGGGCAGGCTCTTCCTGCCAGCCCTGTGCCTCCACTTCCTTCCAGCCAAAGCTCCCTGGACTTCCCAGTCACACCAATCTCCCGCCAATGTTACAAAAAGAAATTCCTTGGGTAGTCTCGCTTGGATTTTCCCCTTCCAGCTTCCGCTACAACTTCCTGTTCTCAGTCTCTCAGAGCTTTAGTTGAGGCCAAAATTATCCTCTTCCTGTCTCCCACGTTCACCTCTGAACGGAAGCTGTATTAGATAAGGAAAGTCCCGGAAGTGGAGCCTACTCGAACTTTGAAAGAGCCCACAGAAAGTCCTCAGGGGGGAAAAGGAGATCATTTTGAGAGTTTTCGTTTGTTTGTTTTTGCTTTTACTGCCTTCTTACGTACATTACTTACAATTCGTGAAGATGAAACAGACGCTGAGGAAGGCACAAAGTTTCAGGGGCACCCTGGGAGGGGCGGCGCGCGAGGCACACTGGGAGGTGCGGCACACGGGGCAACCTGGGAGTCTCGGCGCGCGGGGCACCCTGGGAGGCGCGGTGTGTGTTCATCCCAGCGCTTCCGGAGACCCGCCCTCGCCAACATGGCCGCGCCCAGTTGGGGCACGTCAGATTGCTTCAAGTTTTGGCTGGGGTCGGGGTCTGGGCTTTAGGCAGCAAGTGGGACCAGCGCCCGGGTCCCGAGAGGGACGTGGGAAACTAGGGACGGTGGTGTGGCGCTGCCTGACTAAGGCGAGCGAAGAGCGGCCCGGGCCTGCCCGGGGTCGAGTCGCGCTCCTGAATCGGGTCGGTGATTGCGGGCCGCGGGGACTTGCGCCCGGTTGTGGGCCTGCGTCCCGTGCAGGGCTGGAGGGCAGGAACGCCCGAACCTCGGTCGTGGATTGAGGGAGTCGGGAATCCAGACTTTGACCTCGAGGCCAGACCCTCGAGTTCCACTTCTTGTACTTTTCTTCTGAGGAATGAGTTGAAAAGGATAATTGTCCTCCGGGTTTCCTGTTTCTTGGAAACGGCTAGGTGCTTTGTATTTCTCTTCTCCAAGGACTCTCCGCCACACTCGATGTAGAGTTAGGCGCAAGTCACTTGGTCCCCGGGGCTGACATTGCTGTCGCCGATGTGCACCAATGTGCACGGGAGACCTTCAGACTGCATCGTTTCAATGGCAGTCTTCCTTACCCCGAGACCTCTTCCCTGCTCTCTAGTTTGAGGACAGTATCCTAAACTGCTATAAAGACGATTAATTTGATGCATTTTATCATTAAGATATACTCGGGTACAAAGTCCTGAGGCAGAGATTTTAGTAAATGAATGATGGTCCCAAGGCCTCTGCCAATTCTCAGAACCTAGGCGTTGCCACCGCTGAGGGTGGATTAGGTTTGGTGATGGGTTTTCTTTCTTTCAATGATGATGCAAATATGCCTTTTTAAAAACGGCCTTCATTTTTTGTGGGCCAAACTCTGCATATTAAGTGCTCTTTTTTATTATGTCATTTGTTTAAATGACCCCTACAGGACATATGGTATCCCATTTTACCTATGAGAAAACAGGCTAAATAACTTGCCAAGGGTTACACAAGTTAGTTAGGATACTGGCAGGGATGAAAAAAATTCAGATTTTGCTGTTTCCAAAACACAAATTACATATTTTCAAAAGAACCATAACAAAATGGACAACTGTAAGTGTAAGGTAGGGAGATTTGGGGGAAGTGTTGTTTTTTTTGTTTTTTTTTTTTAAAGCATTTACATAACATATCATTTCTTTCTAAAGGATAGTATTTAGTTTCACAATGTTTGGGGACCTATTTGAAGAGGATTGTTCCAATGTGTCAAATAATCAGTATGGAAAAGGGAAGAAATTAAAGACTAAAGCTTTGGAGCCACCTGCTCCCAGAGAATTCACCAATTTAAGTGGAATCAGAAATCAGGGTGGAACCTGTTACCTCAATTCCCTTCTTCAGACTCTTCATTTCACACCTGAATTCAGAGGTATGCTGTATTACATACATTTGAATAGTAATATGTACCATCCTCTTTACATGTAATTAATTATACAAAATCACAAATAGACAAAGGATCTTAAAGCTGTGTTCCATGCTATGTGTTTATTATTGCAAATATAAGGCAAATTGGTGGTTCTCTCTACAGAGAAATGTGAGGCTTAAATTATTGTAAATGTATTCTGTGTGATTATAGTGTTTAATCACAAAATTAAAAATAAGATAATATATTTCCTAATTCCCACAGTTTAAAATGCAAAATAAAGACAATTCTGTCACTAGTAGTAGAATTTATCATTGTTGTTTCTATTTTTGAGTTGAAAACTTTCTCCAAAGTAACAAACACTTAATCCAATTTTACCTAAACAATTATATTCTAACTTTTAAAGTGGGTAGGATTGTCACATTATTTATACACATTCACAGTTGTTTGTCTTCTTTTCTGAATTCCGGAAAGCTCTGACCCTGATGTGATCTGACTTGAATTTGTTTAACCTCAGAACCATAACCAGTGTGAAGCTATTCAGAGTCTTTAGTTATCTTATTTGGGTGAATATAACACTTCCTTCATATTCTTAAAGTTTGGAAATTCTGAATTCCGAAAATCCAAAGTCTTACTGTATGGGATTAGCTATGTTAAAAGGTAATTTATTGTGAAGATAAAAGAACTCTCCCAGAAATCAACTCTGAATTCACTGGACCCTCGATTTCTTGCCTGTGTCTACATGTTTGCAGCTTTCTCCACATGACTCTTAACATCTGTGTTTCTTTGATTCCAGTATGAGCATTATTTTACCTTCACAAGGCCCTAATTGGGACACTCCCAACTGTCACACGACTTTGTAGTTCAGATCTCTACAGGGTCTCCAGATTCTGAGGATAGACAATCCGAATCATCCTATATCTGAGTATATGATCCTCTTCCTACCACTACAAAATTTATCAAATCTTCATGATGTCTTCTGCTTCTAAGCTTAGAAAGACTTTCTCCTCCAGAAATTTTGACCCCTTCCCAGGACTGTTTTAATGGATTGAACTGCATTATAGGATTTAAAAGTGGTACCTCTTGTCCTTGACCCCATTTCTGTAAAAATATCTCCTTGCTGAAGTCAGTGAATCCTCTTAGAAATTTTCAGTATTAATAACCAGATTCCTACCGGACGCGGTGGCACACACCTATAAATCTCAGCAGCTTAGGCTGAGGCAAGAGGATAGGGAGTTCAAAGCCAGCCTCAGCAAAAGTGAGGTGTTAAGCAACTCAGTGAGACCCTGTCTCTAAATAAAATACAAAACAGGGCCTGGGATGTGGCTCAGTGGTCAAGTGCCCCTGAGTTCAATTCCCAGTAGCAAAAAAAAAAAAAAAAACCAACAGATTCCTAAAAGGGATAAAACTTTTTCATGTTTTTATGTGGTTGAACTTAAAGGTTAACTTGAAGTAGAAAAGTAACATCAAGGAGAGACTGAGGAGGAAAGTGAAGGGATGGAACAGGTCATGGAGAGTGCCTGGAGGTAGGAGTAGGGCAGAAAGCCCCAGGTCAGCTTCTACTTGGCTGGCCAAGCACATGCTTTGATATCATAGTGTAAAATGTACTCTTATATGGCTTAGTATGGTTCTGATACAGATTGAAGGGGGATGCGATTTAGAAACAATAAGAACTACGGAGCACTGAGGAGAAAACGGAACTTTTGGAAGAGTAGTTTAAGGAGTAAGGCTAGGTTAGGTTCCATTGTCCTCCTGGTACACTCTCCCACAATAGAGTAGTGAAAGATGATTATAAAAGTCCTTGTATGGTTTTGTGCTTTAACCTGTAGATTTGTTGTTAATGTTTTCCTTGTCCCATCACTAGTAAGGAATTTAACTTTCACCACAGTAATTGCTAGAGCAGCAGGGATTTTTAGTAGAGACACACTCTCCCCTCTCTAATCTCCCTGGAATGTTGCCAAGTCTCTGAAGGAATTTCTGCCAGTTTGTATACAGACTTTTAAAAAATTCAGATATTTCCCCATTGGTTCATAAACTTACATGTTGGATTATAAAAAATTCTGGAGCCTGGCCTGGGGCTGCCAGCTTCTTTTTCCAGATAGGATCACTACTACCATCTGTTATTACCCTCAACATGGAAAAGATGTTTTTATACCAATAAAAGGAAGGGAGCAATCTCCAGGTAAAAGATGGTCCTGCCAGTGAAAGGCCCATTGGGAGACTCCTGTGATGTGAAAATACAGACTTGCAACATTTGTACTTTCTCAAGGTTCCTCCTGGCTGTCAGTCCTACTGCCATAGGCAATGGGAAACAAAGAGTCAGTGTGATTGGTAATGGTTCTATGTGCAGAAATGAGTGATTTTTTTTTCTTTTTTTTTAATGGATCTTCCATACTGAAGCCTTAGCGTACCACTTTATTTTCTTAAAGTCAGTGATTTTAAAACATTACAAGAAAACAAAATGTATAGATTAAGGGTGTAAATATCATAACAATCATATTTCTGAACCTTTTATTTTATGGTAGTCTTGGCTTTCTAAACATTTTTCTAAAATGAAATTTGATTCTACTTTTTTTTTTTAGAAGCTTTATTTTCTCTTGGCCCAGAAGAACTTGGTTTTTTAGAGGATAAGGATAAACCAGATGCAAAGGTAATAAATTTGATTTACTGGGGCATTTTGGAGTATTGAGGAAATGTTTCTTAATTTTATTTATTGCCAAGTATGTCTTTATTTTTATAAGGTGGCCTATATTTAATTAGCAATGACATTTTCCTTCCAAAAAAGAACTACTTTTCCAAATATAATGCTGCTATTGCTTTATAAACATACTTCACAGTGCTATATTTATGTTGTTTATTCTTACTTCTGATATTTACAAATTACTCACACTAGCTCATCCAAACATCTATTTAAAATATTTACTTGCAACAGTGAAAACAACTAAGACCAGTATTATTTCAATTTGGTACTCTGAAAATACATTAAATAAGGAATTTGCTTATTATTTTATATATTCTGTAGTAAAATCATGTTTAGTGCAGATCTAATGATGTTCTTCCTGCTTAAACTTCATTCAAACAGAAGTCTCTCATCACTTTCAGGCTCAGATTTATACTTCTTAACCGTAGTATTTCATGATGCAGCCCAGTACTTCTCCAACCATGTGGCAAAGGACCATTTTTTTGTGGTTTTTTTCCCCCAGTTTGTTGCAAATCAATATTTTCCTAGTATATTTTTTAAATGTCATGGACATGTAAAATTGCTGTACAGCTTTCTAAATGCATATTCTCCCTTTTAGCCCTTAAAGTCTGACCTGCACACTGGTCCCTGAGAATCATTCATTGCTCAGTCTGCTGGGCCCTCCTTATCTTGAATAAGACAGGAATAGGCATGGAGCCAGCAGAGAAGGAGGCAGGGTGTGATTTGTCCCATGAGTGAGAGATGTGTGCCTAGAAAGTTCCTACATTCATCTTTTGGAATATATCTGTTCCAAAGATATCTTACAGAAAAAATGAACTATTAGAAATTCTAAGTGCTGTCAATCTATGATCATTTGGGTGGTTATTAGGGCCTATGTGAATTTAAATATTTACCTGAACTGTGCCAAGGTAGAGAACTCCAGATAACATAACTTTTAGGTTTGAATTAGAATTTTCAAATAACTGAATTCTAATTAGTTCTCTCTTTAAGATGAATAATTTATGAACTTTGTTCTAAATGAACTAGGAAATAAGAGAAAACTAGTATGCATTTCTTTGAAGAACCCTCACTTGGCCCTTGAAAGAGTTCATTTTGAAGTGCATTCGTTTCTCACCCCAGGTTCGAATCATACCTTTGCAGTTGCAGCGCTTGTTTGCTCAGCTTTTGCTGTTAGACCAGGAAGCTGCATCCACAGTGGAGCTCACCAACAGCTTCGGGTGGACTAGCGATGAGGTATGAAGGGCCCTGAGTAAGTTGCCAGCGGTAGAGAAAAAAAGTCAATGCTGGTATGTCATGTTATCTGACTTCCTTTAGTTTTGTCTTAGAGTCTCAACATGCTTGAATGTTTCCTTCTCACAGTAAGTAATTATAATCACAAGTGTATTTTTGGATACTCACAGTGTAGGTGACACCACATTGTCATCAAAGAGGTAGGACATGGACTTTGAAGGGAAGTGGCGTGATAGTCCCTAAATAAGTGTGTTAAATTTGAGGTATGGGGCTGCCACCTCAAATTAATTCCCTTTTCCTTCCCTTTAAAAAATTAACCATTTAATTGAGCTATACATGCCATAAAATTCACTCTTTCAAAGGGTACAATTCATTGTTTTTTAGTATTTTTACAGAGTTGTGCAACCATCACTACCATCAGTTTTTAAAAACCTTTTCACCAGCCAAAAAAGAGATCCCATATCCATTTGCAGTCACTCCCCCATCATCCTCTTCCCCTAGCCCCTGGCAGCCACTAGTCTGTTTTTTGGTCTTGTGGATTTGACTGTTCAGGACATTTCATGGGAATGGAATTGTGCAATATGGGACCTTTTGTAATTGGCTTGTTTCACTGAAGATAATGTTCTCCAGTGTATTCATCTAGAGTTTGTGTTCATTCCTTCTTACTGTCAAATGATATTCTGTCGGTGGATACTACACATGGTGTTTTATGATGTAGTCCTTTGTTGATGGCTTTTCCTATTTATTTGTTTGTTTTTTGGTACTGGGGATTGAACTCAGAGGTACTCAACCACTGAGCCACATCCCCAGCCCTATTTTATATTTTATTTAGAGACAGGTTCTCAATGAGTTGCTTAGCACCTCGCTTTTGTGAGGCTGGCTTTGAACTTGTGATTCTCCTGCCTCAGCCTCCCAAGCCCCTGGGATTATAGCCGTGTGCCACCAGCCCGGCTTCCCTTTGTTTTTGATAGTGAGCATCTACTAAGTTACTGGTTTTATAATTCTTAAAATTAGGAGGACTTTTTCTATTTTATTTTTTCTAAGTAAAATTTTAAAGAATGAAGTTTAACTGCTACAAGTTTTCTGTTCCCTTTGAGCCAGTGATAGAGGGCAGGTTTATATCTTTGGGTATCTTGTACTTGAAAAGACAAAAAACAATCGCAGCCTTACCCCTTACTCCAGCTTTCATCCCCTTCATCTGCTGCTGGTCATGTGAAACTTGTTTTTCTATTGTCTTCCCTCACTGCTTCCTCTGCACTCTGCATATGTTCCTGTACCTCCTTTCTGCTTTTCCTATCAAAGTCAACAATGATATCCACATACCAAGATCAGAAGTCACTTCTCTGTCCCCAGCTCCTCTCAGTTCCCAGGACCCACCCTCCTGTTTCTTCCTTGGCAGATCTTTCTCCTCATCTCTGCTTCTTTAAATGGCAGTACACACCCTTGGCTTGGTTCATAAATTGTTCTTAAGGAATGCTAACACTTAGCTCAGATTTAAGCACATTCCATGTGGAATTTTTCTGAGTATTATGTTAGTTTTATTTTTTGTTGTTTTATACTTCAAAGCAATAAATTCTATACCTTCTCTAATGTTGACAGTTACTCATATTCACCAGCCACTGTGACTTAAGTGAGCTCCACCTATGCACTCGCTGCCAGCTCTGAAACATGGTCAAAACCTGTTGTGCTTCTGTCTTGTCTCCCTGTGGCACAGCCATGTGTGCAGTTCCCCATGTGATGTGGGCACTTTCCTTTTTAGTGGAGTTGTAAGTTTACAACCCACACGACCTACACGTTTATTTCTGTAGTAGAAGTAAAAGCAGGTAGTGATCTCTTAACCTGCTCTTGGCTTATTTTGCTTAGTCATCCTTATATCTGATCAATGCTTATCTTTGAATTGCTTTATAGATCTTGGGTTTTTGTAAACTAGTACTGTATTCTTAAAATCTGTTTTTAAAAACTTGAAGAACAAAATTACTTTTTAAAAATTACCTGTTTTGTAGGAAATGAGACAACATGATGTGCAGGAACTGAATCGAATTCTCTTCAGTGCTTTGGAAACTTCTTTGGTTGGGACCTCTGGCCATGACCTCATCAATCGTCTGTATCATGGAACCATTGTTAACCAGGTTGTTTGTAACGAATGTAAGAACATCAGTGAGAAGCAGGTGAATTCACAAGAGTGTTAGTAATAAATTATATTGTAAATTACAGTTCATGTAATTAAGTCTGATAAAAATGTTTATTATTAGAAATAATTTATCAGTTTTTTCTGTTTACTCTGACTACACCTGAATCATCAGTTAATAATACAGTTCCCCATGTGAACTGAAAGAAGCAAATATCTTAAAACAATATTTTACTCAATACTCTACTATTTAAAAAAGAGTTTTAGGGGGAAGTTTGAAAATACAAAAATTGGTCTCTTTGGAGAATCCAGTATCATCATGGTTAGACTATTGTAAATAAAATTAATTAGGTAAAAAAAAATACTGAGAATATTTAAATTGACAAGCATCTGTAATTAAATATTAGAGTTAGTTTATTAATATCCTTCAGAAAGTTTATCTCATATGTGCTTATGTTTATGTATTAAATATAAATTTCATTACATATAAAGCTTTTATAATTCTCTTTACTAATGTAACCTTCAGTTCTTTTAATAATACTGATTGTTCATTTAATATGATTGGAAACTAGATATTAGAAGTTTGCTCATGTAAATATAATAATCTCTGTGCTTTACAAGTCTTATACAGCTAATTATTTCATCACTGAACTCTAATAAAAATCTTCTTTTGTTATGGCAAGAGTAAAGAAAGTTTCTGTATTTGTATGAGAGAGAAATGCTATTTTCTAAATGTGTTTGTTGCACTTTTGGAAATATAAATATGTTACTTGTGTTTTTGTATGTGTAGGTATATGTGTACACATACACCTGCACATTTTTATATATATATATATATATTTCTCTTTTTATTTTCTAAGAAGTAGTTGGGGAACAATAAAAACAGTGCTACTTGGCCCTTATTGCCTGTGCTAATAGACGCTCTTTTGGTCAGCCTGGTTTGAAAATAATTAATAGATCATATTTCTTTGAATTACTGTATGATTGACTTAGTGCTAATGTAATAATTCACACAAAGTACTTGTGAAATACAATGTATAGAAAGCACATTATAAATTGTGGACTTTAATTTTTCACACATATATTTTAAACCTAAAGTGTTAGTTTTAATACTCGAGAGTTTTACCATGAACTAAATAGTGCTTTCTCCTTTATCAGACCTCATAGTCCCTTAAATAATGCTGTTGCATACACACAGAGAACCATAAATGATTTATACTTGCCAAATTATAATAGCACTTATTACTAAAAACATATTATAATTCAAATATTCTTATATTAGAATAGATAGACTTCCTATTTGCAAAATACCACCCTCCTTATTTTCATAGAAAAACTTGTTTATCGTGGCTGTACATAATTATTTTCTTATGTAACTTCTTCAGTGTATCTTAAACCAACCTTAGCAAAAGAAATTGAAGAAATAGAATTTATGTGAGATAAAATTCAACCCTGCCTTTGCTGTTATTAATTCTAGTCTAAAGACTGAAACAGTGCTAATGAACTTTGTGCGGGTGTTTTGTATTTAAGTCAACTATATGTTTTATTGCATTTAAACTTACAAATATCTTCCTTTATCAATGTTTTCTTGATACATTTTATACTAAATGATAGCTTGATTTAGAAAGGAAAATTTTGTGTTATGAATGTCATAGTAATGAAGACATCTTCCTATGTACACTGTTTTAGGAAAGATACACCTGATTATTCCCAGTGTATGTTTGAGTTGGCAGTGTGTTTGTAAACATCTGTGAAATTGTTTTTTCAATATTGCATTCTTGTATACTTCAGGAAGACTTCTTAGATCTAACAGTAGCAGTCAAAAACGTATCTGGTTTGGAAGATGCACTCTGGAACATGTATGTAGAAGAGGAAGTTTTTGACTATGACAACTTGTACCATTGTGGAACTTGTGACCGGCTGGTTAAAGCAGCAAAGGTAACAACAATGCCTTCCTTTTTCCAGGGTGCCCACAGAGAACTTGGTGGCAGCCAAGTCACCGGAAGCCACCTGTATGATAAAGACTGAAGGATACACTTGAAGCTCTTGGCTCAAGAATAAAAAAGACATTTTATTTACTATCTTGTCTTTTCATTTTTTTACAGTGAAGAATTTTTTAAATCTTTCATCCTAACAGCTGTCTGAACTTCTTTTTCTCCCAAGAAAAATGTTTTTTATTCCTCAATTTTTCTTAAGCTGCTTTTTTTGGATAAATTCCTTGCTTTTAGCAAATCGCTGTTATGAAGGAGATAGTAGTATTTCTGTTTTTTTCCCACCATCAAGAAGCTTGCCGAGCATTCCTTTCTGTTTCCTGCTACTAAAATAGGTGGCTCTCTTTAATTTCTCAATATGCAATTATTTTCTAACCCTGACATACGTCCTCTTTCGCTTGAGCACATTCCATATGCACTTTCCCACTTGTGGGTCTTGACCTTGTTAGTCATGGTCTTCAGCACAGTACTTCTGGATTTCTTTCAGGATAGCAAAGCAAAATAGAAGATGGAGAGACAAGATGAAAGCAACTGATTTCTTTTATAGTGTGAGCTAAGAGAGAAAAGTAAAATAAGTCAGCGTAGACTTCTGATATTTCTCAAATTTGTCATGTTCCTACTTAGAGTCATTTGTAGATATAATTCATAGTTATCCTAGCTTCCAGGAAGGAAGAACCGCTTTGACAAGTGAAATGAGAGTCAACTCCCATTTAGCTTAATGGAACACCTCCCCAGTGTTATTTTCATACATCTTAAATTTTGCCCATTCCAGCTTCTTTATGATGTGGCTGTGATTTATTATATCAGCACTTTGGCATTGCTGAAAATCGACCACATGTTGACATTTTGTCCCAGTTTTGATGTAAGTTCTCTGTGCTTCACTAGCTGAGTCCTTTGAGTCCAGGGTGTCTTTCACAGGACAGATTTTAGAAAAACATTTTTTTGTTTTTTTAACATTTGAGTTGGTTTTTTATTTCTCCATTTTACCTTCTAGCAACCATATGTATTTCCTTTTCACCATTCTTTCACAATTGTATGTGATTTCTCAATATGGAACTTTTGTTTTGTTTTTTTTCAGTAGTGAGGATTGAACTAAGGGACATACCTGAGCTATACCCCCAACCCCTTCTTATTTTGAGATAGGGCCTTACTAAGTTGCCCAGGCTGACCTTGAACTTCTGATCCTCCAGTCTCAGTCTCCCAAATAACTGGGATTACAGGTGTGCACCACCATGCCCAGTAGAATTGTTTTGTTTTTTTTTAAACATTTTTATACAATTTCCACCAAAAACATCATCAATGCTAATAAATTGCTAGGTATTAGTAATTCACTAATATTAATATAAAAGGTGCTTATTACAGATTATTTCTAAATGTCTGATATGTCTGTGTGTGTATAAATTCTTAATGCCATTTCCCATTCCTCTGGCTTGAATGTGCCATTTCTGCACTTCTCTGGCTCTCCTCTCAGCACCTGTTCCTATGAGCAATGAAGCATCAACCCTGCTGCTGTAATTTTTACCTAGGTAGTTAACTGTCCCACTGTTACTAGATGATGTGATAGACTATTCATAAACATTGTAAACTTGAGCTCAGTGCGGTCAATGGTTATTGAGCATTATCGTAAACAGCTACCACAAAAAACATACCTGTGTAGTGGATCCATAATGCCAAAGACATGTAGCACTATTCCTATGGCTGACAGTTAACTGAACTTTTCCAACAAATAAAATGAATATTAATTTAATACACAATACTGATTTTGTATCCTGGAAATGATAGAAGTAAATGTAATAAAAAAGTAAACCCTGTGGCTATAGCTTTCACAACAGTCTTTGAAACCAGGATGAAGTTTACACTGTTTAATATATGTTTTCATATATTGTACTCATTATTAAACCTAGAGAGAGAATTACCATTTGTTTACTCATTTTGTACTTCACCTGTGGTGTTAGAACTACTATCTGATAAGTATAAATCTCAGCGTTTGGAAAAGTCTTAGATACTTACTTAAACATTTTTTGTTGAACTTAATTTGCATTTTAATAAAACAGGAACCCTTTGCTAACCCTAACCTTCTGCTAAACAAATACAGTTTTTTTATATACCTAATATTGTTGGTTTAATTCTTTTTCGGTGGAACTTCTCTATTGTGGAGTATTTTTCTAGTTGCCATGTATTTATTGCATTCTGAATTTAGGTTTGGTGTGCTCTTTGAGTAAATGTAGATTTTCCTGTCCTTAGCAATCTTTTCTAATCATATAATAGCAGAGTTTCTGTGTTATTTTGGATGCATCCATAGAGCTTGTCTGAAAATCTGCCAAGTTATTTTATGGCTGGGACTTTTTTATTTAACTTTTTTTACCCACTAGATTTGTGAAATTATTATTTTAAATATATGTTTAACAGTGTTGGGTTTATATGATTATGGCCATTACTAAGAGGTCTGGGGACAAGTGATGACTTTTTTTTTTTTTTTTTTTTTTTTTTGGTACTAAGGGTTGAACCCAAGGGCTCTGAGCCACATCCCCAGCCCTTTTAAATTTTTATTTCAAGACCTGTTCTCATTAAGTTGCTTAGGACCTCCTAAAGTGGCTGAGGCCAGCCTCAAACTTGAAATCCTCTTTCCTCAGCTTCCTGAGTCACTGGAATTACAGGCATCCACCACTGCACCCAGCTAAGTGATGACTCTTAAATAAAAATCATCTTAATGTACTATTTAGTTTTAAACTAAGGAATTAAAACAACAAAAATACCTTAATCTGCTTTTGAGTTTTAAAGTAGCAACTATAAAACTCTGATCAATAGATCTTAACCATTGGGATTACAGTCCTTTTAAAAGTCTAATTAAACTGTGGATCTTCTCCCTAGAGAAAACGTATACACTTAAACTTTTCCTAATTCATGTGTTCAGAGCTCAGGTAAAATAAGATTATGAAGGAGCAAAGGAAAAGGCCAGGAATTGGGCAGAAAATAGGAGCAGATGGAGAGGGATAATGAGCAGTTACAACATGTTCATCAAGTAGGATTTTAGAATGGCAGCTCTGAAAACAAAAGTAGCTTGTGAAACTTTTGTGAGCATAAATGAGTGATATCAATCACCCGTAGTCCCATAAAATAGATGAGATTCCTCAAGTTATATTATTGAACCCATTGTTAATGACTGTATGTGAGTTAAGGACCTGTTTCTCCTAAAGCTTACAGGTGTTTTTTTTCATACTTTAAGTAACATTATCCTTTCACATAACTGCTTTTTAAAAACTTTGTGAATTTTTCTTTTAACAGTCGGCCAAATTGCGCAAGTTGCCTCCTTTTCTTACTGTCTCATTACTAAGATTTAATTTTGATTTTGTGAAGTGTGAACGCTACAAGGAAACTAGCAGTTACACATTCCCTCTCCGGATCAATCTCAAGCCTTTTTGTGAGCAGGTTTGAATTATTTTATTTTTAAATTCTTTCTTTTCCCCTTCTATATTTGAATCTTATTGACCTGATGGAAGTTTATTACAGAATTCCTGAACCTTAGCCTTGTTAACATTTTGAATTTAGTCATTCTTAGATGTGGAGGACTGTGCTGTACATTGTGGGATGTCTACTAGCATTCCTGGCCTCTTTAGACTGGGATGTGGCTCAGTGATAGAGCAGTTGCTTAGCAGGCCCAAGGTCCTAGCTTTGATCCCCAGCACCACAAAAAAAAAAAAAAAAAAAAATCACCTGGCCTACTTAATAGATGACAGTAGCATCCCCACTCCTCTCCCACTTTGGCAATGAGAATGTCTTCAAAAGTGGTCAAAAGTCCATATGTCCTGGAGATGGGGTTGCAAAATTGCCCTGAGCTGAGAACTTCTGATTTGTTTACAGTCCTTTTGAATCTAAAGTGTACAAGTTCTCTGTTCTCTATTAAACTCTTCTTGAAAAATCTTTGAGATGAAAATTTTAAAACAAAATTTAAAATGATCCTGCTTTTAGAAAGATTACCATTAATTGGTACTTTGCTATTTGGATTTATTTTAGATGTGATAATGAATTACATGTCTAGAAAGTGAACAGACAAATAGAATTTTTCTAGTCTAGAATTTGTAATCCTTAAGACACAGGAAAGAAAATGTGTTGAAAGCAAGTTAATTATAAAAACAAACTACTTTATGACCCACTTATAGTTTTTATATCATTATTATACATGCTAAAATCAGAATGATGAGACTGGTATATTTCTTATTATAAATCATTCTTATTTTATTAGGAACAGAATATTTATTAGCTAGATATTCAATTTCTGTGAAAAAAAAAAGTAATCCTTTTGTTAACATTATTTAATTCAAACTCTTCACAGGTGGGCCTAATTGCTCAGCTTTTTGGGTTTTTTTTTTTTTTTTTTTTGAATGTTTGAATTTTCAGAGATTCTAGTATTCTGTGGATGCTTAGCCTATTACTGGCATACTCAAAATCAATGATTTTCCCAGGGTTAGTTAATATACTCACTACTCTTTTTATAAAAAGTATTTCATCATGTGATTTAACATACTTCAGTATAACAGATCTGAAATAAGTAATATAATTGACCACTTATCTAGGACATCCACATCAATCTTGCTTTTGAATTTCTATTAGTGTAGAAACACCTTGCATCTTTGTGTATCTCTCTCCTGTCTTTTGCCTAAATCAGACATTTTCAATTACTGTCCACTCAAAAACTATAATATTTTAATCAAATACATTCCTCCGGTAACTAGCATCCCTCAGCAGACACCCATGTATGCATTTACATCACAAGTTACACTGGTCTAGTTTAGATGGCACAATCAGAAGGGAGCTTATGTCAAGTGCTTCAGACCCCTGGAAAGTGAAAACTAAGGCTTTCTTGTTCTTCTGCATCAGAAATTTAAAGTGTCTCTTAATCTACTGTAGTTGTTTCCATTTGTTTTGTTTTTAATTGCCAGTGTAGAAGTTTATCTCTTGAGTTACATGTAAATATAAAGTGCATTAATTAATTAATTATAGAAAAGTTTGATCATAGAATTAATAAAGCAGGAAAGAACTTCTTCATTCTACATATTGCCTCTAAACAAGAACAACTATTGTTCACAATTGCTAAATTTCTATTCTGTTCAGATGACTGAAATGTCTGGAGGGTTAATAGTTGATCTGACTCTGACTCTGTGGGGCAGCCTGGTTGGAACATAGGACAGTTTCGTCAAGTATAGAACATGTGTGTTTAACATCATGATAGATATGTACAAAGATGGTTTTCTCTTGCTAAAAACCTCTAGCTTACATGTCTCAGCCCAAACTAACAGCTTTTTCAGATACATGTGTTCACGTTTAAGTGAGGGGCCAAAATAGATCAATATAGTGTGTTTAGTAGTTGACCAATGAATTTAAAATTTTTTAATTTAAAGCCAGTCTTTTAAATTTATCTTACTTTTAAATGACAGTGATATTCACTGTAATTTCTAATTAATTTCAATACTTGGAATTCTTTTTCCATTCTACTTACATATATTTTAGCATCTTATGTTAAACTATCCATGTTTATTTTCCTTTTTTCCTTTAGAGTGAATTAGATGATTTAGAATATATATATGACCTCTTCTCAGTCATTATACACAAAGGTGGCTGCTACGGAGGACATTATCATGTATATATTAAAGATGTTGATCATCTGGGAAACTGGCAATTTAAAGTAAGTGTACAAACTCATTTAGAAATATCTTGCGATGTCTTGGTTTCTCAGTTCCTTTTACAATATTTTGTTGATGATCTTTTGCCATTTATTGTATACGCACCCTGTAGAAAACTTTGATAGGCATTAAGTTAATTCAGATATGTTTTAAATTTTTATTTCTAAATAATTTTACATGTACAGAAAATACCACAGTAGTACAAATACTTCCTATGCACTCTTTACCTAGATTCTCTAGTTGTTAACATATTGCCACATGTTTTAGTTAGCTATTTCATCACTGTGACTGAAAGACCTGACAAGAACAGTTAGAGGACGAAAAGTTTATTTGGGGGCTCACAGTTTCAGAGGTCTCAGTCCATAGATGGCCAACTCCATTGTTCTGGGCCTGAGGCAAGGCAGAACATCATGGCAGAAGGGCGTGGAGGGAGAAAGCAGCTTAGAATATGGTACCAGGAAGCAGAGAGAGAGAGAGAGAGAGAGAGACTCTTCTCAACAAGTACAAAACATAAGCCCCAAAGCACACCTCTGGTGACCCAGTTTCTCCAGCTCTACCCTATCTGCCCACAGTTACCATCCAGTTGATCCATATCAGTGTATTAATGCACAATGATTAAGTCAAGGCTCTCATAACCCAATCATTTGTCTCTAAACTTTCTTTCATTGTCTCACAATGGGAAATACCTCATATCTAAACCATAACCCCACATTTGTACATGTGCACACACAGACATGTATACATTATTAACATCATTGTTAGTGTTGAACCAAGTAAATGGAAGACATTAGACTCCTTTACCTCTAAATACTAGGTGTTTATCCACCAAAAACAAAGATATTCTCTTACATAAGCATAGATAAAAAAACCAAGAACTTTTAATACTGGTATATTACTATTGCTATTGTCTAGTGTATAATTATATTCAGGTTCTACCAGTTGTCTAATCTATATCTTTTATGAAAATGTTTTTCCCACTCTAGTGTCAAATCCAAGATCATGTGTTAGATTTAGTTATCTTTTTTTTTTTTTTTTTTTAGGTCTCTTTTACTCTGAAACCATCTCTCAGCTTTACAGTTCCTCTGTTATGACAAACTATGGAATTTTTCCAGCAAATAAAATGAGCATTGATTTAGATAACACACAGTATGGATTTTGCATCCCGCAGATTGTAAGTGAAAATGTACAAAGCTTTCACAGTAGGATTTAAAGCCAGGGCAAATTTTATCCTATTTAATGTAATATGGCTGCAGTGTCATGTGGTTGCTCTTTAAAACAGCACTCATTGACCATCACTTAATGACATTTGAAACACTGGTCCTTCCCCAGGACCATAAAACACAACAAAAAATATAAGTCCTTCTAGATGGTTTTCTGTGAACGGTATGAGAATTTTTCCCCAAAACATTACCCATTACCACCTATTGAATAATTGCTTTTCTCCACCAACTTACTGTGTCAGTTTCATTAGATCTATTGTTCATTAATGCAGGAGTCTTGTTTTTTAGATCTCTATTCTGTTCTATTCATTCTCCTCCTGGGCAAATACACACTTAATTGCCATAGGTTAATTTTAAATCATGCCATCTGGTGGGACAAGTCTCCCTACATGCTGCTCTTCAGGATTGTCTTACCTATCTTGTTTATGCTTCTGTGTGTCTTCCTAGAATCACTTTCCCATATTTTCACATATGCACATGCCCCTGCATGCGTGCATACACAGGGGTTTTGAGTCTTCATATATGAACAAGATATATCTCTTTAAAGCTCCTTTGGAGTCTTTTTAAAAGTTTCATAATTTTCTCAGTGAATTGTAGAAGGTCTGGGAAAGTGCTCACTAGAGTCTATTGTGACATTAGAATACATTTCACATCAACCCTATGCTCTTCACCAGTTTCTAAAATGAAGCTAAGTCAATCACATTCTTCCATTTCTTTGACCTTACTGCAGTATCTAGCTCTCCAGTTCTGGATTCAGAAAGCTGTGCAGACATTGCTGTCAAATGCTATGCCACGTTTGCCAAGACACCACCATTTTGGACACCTTCCCGATCAGATAAAATGAAGCACCTTTTATCCTTGGTGATTATTAGAGGAAATTTTTCCCTTCATTCAGTACTAAGGTCAAGGCAGTCCAGTTTATTGCCCTTTATTGTGGAATAATTTTTTTTCCATATCATGCTTCTAGTGAAGGTGTAGCCCTTTAGGATTTCCAACATTTTGCTGCAGTCTATCATTGTGGTATGTAAAAACTATATACAGTCATCCCTCAGTGTCCTTGGGGAATTGGTTCCAGAACTCCCCATACCAAAATCCATGGATGCTTAAGTCCCTTGTAGGAGTCTGTTTTTCAGTTTTCTATTCCGTTCTATTCTTTCTCCTGGAAAAAATGGCAATAATATTTGCATATTACCTATACACACATATGCCTATATACATGTATACTTAATCTCCAGGCTATTTATAATATATAATGTAAAATACCTAGCAAGTAGTCACTATCCTGTATTGTTTTGGGACTAATAAAAAGAAAAAAAGTCTCTACATGTTCAGTACAAACATTCTTGTTTTCCTAATATTTTGATGCACAGTTGGTTGAGTTCACAGGTATAGATCCTGTAGATACAGAGCATCTGATGTATTTGTTGTCTCCAATTCCAATTCCTGGTATATAGGTCTTTAGAATTCCTTGATGGAAGTTATTTTATTCATGATAAGCCCCTTTCCACCTTATGGTGTTCATGCTAAAGAGTCCATTCTTAGATGCCTTAAGATGGGGCCTGGTTGCCATATGAGATGCAGAATCCATACTGTGTTTTATCTGAATCAATGCTCATTTTACTTGCTGGAAAAATTCCATAGTTTATCATAACAGAGGAACTGTAAAACTAAGAGATGGTTTTAGGCTAAAAGAGACCTTACACATGATCTTGGATTTGACACTAGAGTGGGGAAAACATTTTCATAAAAGACATAGATTAGACAATGGTAGAATTTGAATATAATCATACACTAGACAATAGTAGTATGCCAGTGTTCAAAGTTCTTGGTTTTGATCTGTGCCTTAAGATGGGGCCAGATTGCCCACTGATGAGAGGGGTGGAATTTACATTCCATCTCCTGACCTTGGAGAGTGGGAAAAGACAAGAGGATTGAGTTCACCAATGGCCAATGATTTAATCAGCGCTGCCTCCACAGTGAACTTCAGTGCTTGAGTAGGGCTGGGGTTTTGGCTCAGTGATAAGAGTGCTCGCCTAGCACATGTGAGGCCCTGGGTTTAATCCTTAGCACCACATAAGAATAAATAAAGATATTGTGTCCAATTACAACTAAAAAATAAATAACCCTTGAGTAATGAGGTTTGGGGAGTTTCCATGTTGGTGACATATCTGTGTACCGGGAATGTGGCCCCCTGGACTCTGTTGGGGACAGGCTTCTCTACTCGCGACCTTTCTGGACCTCACCCTACAACCTCTTTATCTAGATGCTCATTGGAATCCTTTATAATAAACTGTAGCATAGGTTCCTGATATCTGTGAATTGCTCCACTAAATTATGAACCTGGAATAAGGGTTGTGTTTACCCTAGAATTTGCAACTGATCAGGTGGAAGTGTAAATAACCTGGAAACCCCATTTATGGTTAGGGTACCAAGTGGGAGTCAGTCTTATAGGACTAAGGCTCAACCTGTATAATCTGTTTGGGTACAGATAGTTAGTGCCAGAATTGAACAGAATTGTGGGACATTTGGTGTCAGAGGATTTAGAGAATTGGTACTTTTTTGAAAACCAATCACTCAACTCTGTGCTTTGGGTAAGCCTTAGGTTTCCTCTCCCAAACCCTGTACTATTTGAGCATCAGAGTGGAAGCTCAGTATCAACAAGGTTGGTGTCTTAGTCCATTCAGGCTGCTACAACAATACTTTTTATAAACAATAAAAATGTATTACTCACAGCTCTGGAACCTTCCTTAGAAAGTCCAACATAAAGGTGCCAGCAAATATTTTATATCTGCAGGATTTACCACTTTATAGATGGTACCTTCCTGTTTTGTTTTGTTTTGTTTTTTGTTGATATTGGGGATTAAACCCAGGAGTGCTTAACCACTCAATCACATCCCCTACCCTTTTTATTTTTTTAATTTAATTTTGAGACAGGGTCTCACTAAATTGCTTAGAGCCTCTCTAAGTTGCTGAGGCTGGCTTTGAATTTAAAGTCCTCCTGGCTCAGCCTCTAAGTTGCTGGGATTCCAGGAATGAGCCACCACCACTGTGCCCAGCTATAGATGGTGCCTTCTTGCTGTGTCCTCAAACAGCAGAAGTGGCATACAAGCTCCCTTGAATCTCTTTTATAAAGGCACTAATCCCATCACGAGGGCCCACCCTTATGACTTAATTGTTTCCTGAAGATGTCATCTCTTGATACTATTGCATTAGGGTTAGGTTTCAACATACACGTTTAGGAAACAAAAACATTCAGAGTGCAGCAGTTGGGATTCTAGAAGCCTTTACTCTGTATTTCCTACCTGGATTTCCATTTCACTTCTCAACCTCAGAGGGTATTCCTAATGTGTATGTTTAAAAATATGTTTTTGTTATGTTTTGCTTTTACTTTACCATTTTTAGTAATTTTGCAGCTAGATGGTTAGATCTGGTGCCACATTCTTCTGTTATTTCTTGATTTTTTTTTCCCTTGTGTTAATTTTTAAAGTCTCCTTGTATTTATAGTTTTAAGCCAATTTAAAATACTTTTGCAAGCTCTTACATATGAAAAAAGAGTCAATAAAAATTGCTCACCAGGGGAATTTTGACACATTCCCCAATGCCATTATCAAATGGGGTATAAACTTTTTGAATATCAATCAGGAAATGAAAAGAAGTGTTTAAATTGAGCCCATAAAAATGGATTGGAGTTTTTAGGCCAATACGAGTGAGTGAGAACATGGCAGATGAAACCAGAAGATATTTGGAACTGAGTGATGATGATGATAGTTCAACATATCAAATTACACATGACTCAGCCAAAGCAGTGTTTGGCTAGAAGACATTGGTGCCAGTGTATACCAGATTCTAATCTTTATCCAGTTTGTAAGGTGAAGCCAGAGCTATCAAGTAATTTGCTCAGAATTGTTCAACAAAACCTGTATTTTGAAACCAGGTTGGCCTGATTCCAATGCATATTGCAGATTATTGTTTTCTACCATCATTTCTCCAGTGGCATAGACACTCCTATTTTATTAATTCCTCTAAGAGATTTGTGATAGAAAATCTTATTGCTTTCCTTCTTAGCAGGAAGAAAGTAAGCCAGATGTGAATTTGAAAACTCTTCAAAATGAAGAGGAGATTGATGATCCATTGGTGATACTACAAGCAGTCATATTACAGGTAGGTTGTGTCTGTTTGTGTATTTGTGCTTATATAGCTATCACAAGTGGGTGGGCTTATTTATATGAGGACATCAGTCACATTATTTAGGGACAACTCCAAAAAGGAAAATGGACTCACTTTAACTTAACCACCCCATTAAATGCCTTTAACCACCCCTTTAAATGCCCTAACTTCAAATACAATCACATCATTAAGTATTGCAGGCTAAGGATTCAACCTATGAATTTGGGGGAGACACAGTTCAACCTATAATAGTCACATCTTGTCCCTTTCCAGAACTTGTATACTTTGAAATATTCAGATGATGTTAATAATATTTTTTACTTAAATATTTCTTCTAAAAATCATATATAATATCAGGAATTTATCAAACATCAGGATACCCTTTGGATATAGTTAAAATGTGGCACATAGTAGGAAGGTACCATCTATAAAGTGGTGAGTCCTGCAGATACAAAATTTGCTGGAACTTTCAAATACAAATAGACTTTAAAAAAATAAGATTTTTCTGAACCTAGGTTTAAGCTACTTTTCCAAAAAAAAATTATAATGAATAATTACGATTTATTTTATTTCATTTCATTTCTTTTCTTTGCAGTACAGGAGCTCAAATCCGGGGATATTTTACCACTGAGCTATATCTCCAGACCTTTTATTTTTTGTTGTTGAGACAGTGTCACTAAGTTGCCCAGGCTGGCCTCCAACTTAATATTCTCATGCCTCAGCCTCCTCAATAGCCAGTATTATAGGTGTATGCTGTCATATTATGGCAATAATAATGATTAATCCACTTACGTGATTTTGTTCTAGGCACGTGTAATTACATAAAATCCTGTTGATCCCTCAGAATTTGTGTTGCAATTATTTCTCATCAGACTTGTTTAAATGACTTTGTGTTTATTTCATAAGGAGGAGAATAATCTAATATCTGTTGATCAACTGGGCCAGAAACTGTTGAAAAAAATGGGAATGTCTTGGAACAAGAAGTACAGAAAACAGCATGGGCCACTGAGAAAGGTAATACATGGCATCAACATAGGAAATCCTAGTCCTAGGATATTTTGTTATGTTCCTAACAACTTGAATTTCTAAGATATTTTAAGTAGATAAAAATAAAATCAGCATTTTTGTTCAAAAATAGCTGTAATTCAGCTATTACTTATAAAGTATCAGTTATTAAGTTATTTATCAACAAGCAAAAAAAAAAAAAAAAAACAAGGAAGTCGCCCTTATCACAGTAGCAAAAACAAATTATCCCAAAGCTCTAACTTCTAGAAACTTACTTATCTCATTTCCTAGGCTAAAGACTCATTGCAGAAACTGATATTACCAGAAACAAAAGATAAAAACTTGACTGAAAATAACCAAACAAAGCAACAGAACATTTAATGAACATTTAGGAACTGTTTTGTGTAAAAGCAAAGCACTTACCCACTGCAATAATTGTTTAAGAGCATCTTTTAATTAGACCACCAAAAATCGATTTTCTGTTACCTGTATTATTTTGGAAAATTGTGTTGTTTAGGGAATTTGCCTTTTTATGTATGGTGTCAAATACTTAAAATATTCTCATATTAATTAGTGTTTTCTTTTCTTGCTAGGGTTTATCAAGTTTATTTTTAAAAAATCAACAGCCAGGGCTGGGGTTGTAGCTCAGTGGTGAAGCACTTTGCCTAGTGTGTGTGGGGCACTGGCTTCAATCCTCAGCACCACATAAAAATAAATAAATAAATAAATTAAATAAAGGTATAATGTCTGTCTACAACTAAGAAGAATATTTTTTAAAAATCAACAGCCTTTGATACAATAGGATATAATTGTATTGATTTTTCTCTACTGCTTGTCTGTTTCTATTTCATTGATTTTAGTCCTTAATGAAGTAATTTTTTTTAAATTCTGTTTCATTTCATTTCTTTGTGGTACAGGAGATCAAACCCAGGGGTACTTAACCACTGAGCCACATCCCCAGCCCTTTTTAAAATTTTCTTTATTTTGAGACAGGGTCTCACTGAGTTAATTAGGGTCTCACTAAATTGCTAAGGCTAGTCTCAAACTTGTGATCCTACCTCTTTATCCCAACAGATCTGTCTGGATCAGTAGTTTCAGATTATCTCTGATAGTGGTGCACTGTGCAATTGCCATTGTTTTGTGCTTTGTTTAGGTAGCCCTTAAATATTTCAAAAGTTTTTGTTCTACCTAATCCATTTCATTTAAGTACTTTTTTAAAAACAGCATTAATTAGAATGCTTTTTAGATTGTAGCATGGCAGCTTTCTCCCTTGATATAACTATTAAACAGTTTCACAGAATTCTCTTCATTTTTGCTAAATGGCTTCTTACACCTAAATGGATGTTTTCCCCTTCGTGGACTGGGCCAAAAATAAAGATGAAGTTTTGAAAAAAAAAAAAAAAATCTAAACCACAGAAAGGAAGAAAACATTTTTTAAGGTCTAATTTAAAATTTTTTTAATTAATCCAGCTTTTTTTTTTTTTTTTTTTTTGTCTGATTCTGCATAGTTCTTGCAGCTGCATTCTCAGATGTTCCTTCTAAGTTCAGATGGAAGCACAGTTAGTCTACTGAAGAAAGATCCTGTCCAGTCTAAGTCTGACTTCCAAAGTACTGATCAACAGAGTTTCCACTCACTGGCTTTAGAAGCCCCAGGATTAAGTGATAGCACTGCCTGTTCCCACTGGTTTGATATAAATGACTCTAAAGTTCAACCAATCCAGGAGAAAGATATCGAACAGCAATTTCAGGGCAAAGAAAGCGCCTACATGTTGTTTTATCGGAAATCCCAGTTGCAGAGACCCCCTGAAGGTATGGAAAGAAAAGTTTTCCTGTTTAATAATTTTAGAAGGTAAACATGGAATACTGTTGAGTTTTTGCTCTTTTGATAGAAGGCTTACTCTGGAAACATTTAAAAATATTTTAAAGCAAAATAATATTTCATATTTTAAAGAAGAAATATGTTATGCCAAATAAAATCTAAAAATGTATCTTTTTATAAAGATTATATATTTCTATTTAAATTTATCCTCATAATAATATGAGGTCACGGTTATAAGTTGTTTGAAATTGGATTTCCTTGGGTCACATGATCTTTTCCCATGTTGGCAGTCTGAGTGTGATCACACTAGTTCAGACGCAACTGCCACTCGGCAGCCTTTGTGTTAGCCTTGGTCTTATTTTCTCATCTCCCCTTAATTGTCCCATTTATTTTTGCTTTTGCCTCAAAGTAATGTCCTCTGATCAGTGGAAATTTCTTTGAAGCTCTCATTATTGAGCCAAGAGAACTTAAACCATGGAGGTTAATAACCATTTGCGACGTTTAACAGTAAAGGGTATTTTTTTAATTGAAGCTGTTAACATGAATAAATCAGGAAGACTTTTTGATCATTTCCTAAACATAAAAAACGCTAAGTAGGAAATCTTTTTTAGATTGAAACATAGCTATGATTAGAGATGAAGAGAATGTTCTCAATGAGAATAGTGATCATTTTTTATAAAAAATAAGAGTAAAGCAGTTACAAATTTGCATTAGAATCAAAGGAAATTATCTTTCTAGATCTGAAACAATTATATGACTTCTGTTAACCAAAACTGCTTTGTATTTTTCTGAGAGAAAAAAGGCATGGTAATGGTTCTGATAGAAATACTGTGGATCAGAATTCATGATTATAGAAACAGAAAGGGAGTGTCTTTGGATGGAGTATTAGTCTCTTACCAGATTGACAGTGAGTGTGAGCATACTTGGACTTTGTACCAAACAACAGCTTCCGGGTAGCTGAGAAATTGAATAAAGGTCCAGTCAAAGTCTTGATGGACTTTGGGGAATAAAGGGACAGAACTTCACAAAACAATTCTAAAATTTACTTAGAGAAATAAAAATTGAAGAAGGGACTACTGGGGCTGTTTATAGTATAAGTAAAAACATGTCTATAAAACTGTTTAGCAGTGAAGACAGAGCAATGCTAACGCCAAAATCACTGAAACCCCAGTGAGCCCAGGAATCAATCTCGGCATGTCAGAGGCTTTAATCCAAGGGAAGAAACTCCTTGGATAAATGGGAAAGTGAATTACTTAATAAATACAACTGGGAAGTTGTTTTGTTGCTAGGGAATTAACTAAGACATTTTCCTCTATTCTGCCAATCACTCAAATGAGATGATAGCTCCTTTATATAAAAATGGAATCTTAAAATATGAAAACTTGGGCTGAGGATATGGCTCAAGGGGCAGCGCGCTTGCTGGGCATGTGCAGGGCACTGGGTTTGATCCTCAGCACCACAAAAAAAAAATAAAATAAAGATGTTGTGTCCACCAAAAACTAAAAATAAATATTAAAAAAATTCTCTCTCTCTTTAAAAAAAATATGTAAATTTATTTGATTTTAAGATAGAAAGGACCTTTCTAAACTAAAAGACTAAGAAAAAGTGACAGAAACTTCAAATGACAAGGTAATAGAAAACAATAAAATACATGACAGATTTATTTTCCCTATCTGTAAAGTGCTCTTCCGTATATTCTATGATGCTCCCTAGTAAATTGGGAAAAGTTTATTAAAAAGCAATGTACAAAAGAAGAAATTCTTATTCTTCAAAAATATTTCCAACCCAGCCCATAATCAGAAAAACTTAAAATAGGAAGGAGATGCTGCTAGTTTCCTACCATGTCACACATTTTTTGTGAATCTGGTTCCCAGCAGCCAACACTTCCTCTGCAGCTGGTATGTATGTAAACAGATACAAACAATCAAATGTGTATATTTTTAAAAGCCTTAGGGCTGGGGTGTAGCTCAGTGACAGAGCACTTGCCTAGCATGTGTGCGGCACTGAGTTCCATCCTCAGCACCACATAAAAAAATAAATAAAGGCATGCTGTCCATCTACAGCTGTATTAAAAAAAAAAAATTAAGAGCCTTAAAACTACCTCATCCTTTAAACCAGTAACTCTCACAAGTTTGTCATGAAGTCATCAGAGCTGTGTATGAATATTATGTTCAAAGATGTTTGCTGCCTTATTTTTTACAGCAGGGACTAGTTGAAAAACTACCGCAATGTCTAATAGAGAAAGATGGGTTAGATTAATTATGCTACTTACATAGAATAGGCTTCTATGCAATTATTTATTTAAGGCTGTGGAAAAATACAATTTATGAAATCAGAAAGCAAGTTACAAATACATCAGCTATAATTCCAGTTATTTTTTTAAAAAATACATGTGTTGTGCATGTTTGTGTGGTGTGCGTACATGTGTGTTTTAGGAATGAGATTACATATAATACTTTAAAAAATAATTTCCAGAATTTTTACAATAACCAATTATTACATGTGTAATTGGAATGAAAATAGTGGTTTTTTTTTTTTTTTTTTTTTTTTTTACTTAAAGAGGGGTGAAGGAGTAGAATCCTTCTAGTTTGGCTCAAAAGCCAGCTGCCTTTCATTTGTTCTCCTTCCTTTCTTAGGTTGGAAAGCCAAGGTCTGGGAAAGTCAGCATCTACATAGCTGGTTGGCAGCACTTTCTCTGCCCCTGTGCAGCTCCCTAAGTTCTCACATTGCCTTTCCAACACCCAGATTTCACTTATTCAGCACAATTAATGATAAGTTTTGTTCACAGCTCTAGCTAACCCAAGATACAGGGTCCCCTGTCACCTGCTGAAAGAAATGGATGCAGCCAACATTGAACTGAAAGTGAAAAGGTAATTTAAGTTACTTTTAGAGTTTGAGTAATTTTTCTGGAGAATGCAGATCTAATTTAGGCCTTATTCATTCAGTAATGAAAATTTAAAAGAGTACTCAACTAGTTAAAAAACACCTGTTTGGCTGTTGAATTTTTATAGTGGAGGTATCATTTGCTTTGAACTGACCCTTATCTGTAAAACTGAACATAAAATGGCTATTGCCAAGTAGGGACCAAAGCCTAAGAAGACTTGGGAAATAGGCAAGCACACATTTGGGCAAAGTGAATTACACCTTGTCCTGGCCAGGTTATACCTTGGGTATAAAGAAAGCTTGTCCTTAAAACCACCCTCATTTTTAAGTAGCTGTGGAGAACTGAACATAAAGTGACAGGAGATCAGAGATGGGAAGATTTTCAAAAGGAAGGAAATATGGATTCTGTGAACTGTTAGGTTTAGTGTCTGTCTTGGACAAAAACCCATAATGGATTCTTGAAGCTATGGCTTATAAGAATCTGCATGTCAGCATTCTCTTAGGGCTTGAATCCTGAAGAACTGGGTCTTATTTGCTCACTGACAGGGCCGTAGGTATCAGGTAGGGAAATGGAAGTTTACTCATCTCCTTGTGAATTCATGGGGCCAATTATGTAGTGGGAATGCGTTCATCATTTTAATCATGGACTTGGATCTGGGAGAAAAAAAATAGCAGGCACATTGAATGATACACCAAAACCAAAGAAACTCTCAAAAGAAATGAAGAGGGCTGGGGTTGGGCTCAGCACTTGCCTGGCATGTGTGAGGCACCGGGTTCACTCCCCGGAACCATATAAAAAAATAAACAAAATAAAGGTATTGTATCCATCTGCAACTTTAAAAATATTAAAAATAAATCAATAAAATCTATCCAAACCTTAAAAAAAAACAAATGAAGACACTAAATAATATAAATGGAGTGCGAGTTGGGGTTTTTGGTTTGGTTTGGTTTGGTTTGGTTGGTTGTTTTTGTGGTGCTGAGGATTGAACCCAGGGGTACTTTACCACTGAGCTATGTCCCCAGGCTAGCCTTAAATTTGTAATCCTCCTGCCTCAGCCTCCTGCATAGCTCAGGATGTTTGTGCCAGCAACTGCACGTATCTTATGCAAGAGCCCAAGGAGTCTAGTAAAGTTGGGATGAAGCAGAAGTCAGTTACATGAGCAAGTGTCTAGCATTTGTCTACAACTATAATATAATCTCAGGATTGGAAGGTTTCAGGTGTCAGCATTTGTTCAAAGAAATGTGATTAACAGTGCAAGGAAACAATTTTCCCTTGGAATTCCTGGGAACGTTGCTGATGATTGAAAATCCAAAATGTGTCATTAAAAAAAAAAAAAAGAAAGAAAATCTAAGATGTATCATTTTGGCAGGTAGAAAAAAAGGATGGTACTTAAGCAGAATGGAGAATTTACTTGTATTGTAAAGCAAATATTTTGGTTTGAGATAAAACACAGTGTCATTATAAAAGCATAGTGTTGATATATTTTGTATGCTTCTTTGAAGGGCAGATTGTGATTCTGCAAACAATGATTTTGAATTGCATCTTCACCTGGGCCCTCATTATCGTTTCTTCAATGGGGCTCTGCACCCAGTAACCTCTCAGGCAGAAAGTGTGTGGGATTTGACCTTTGACAAAAGAAAAACTTTAGGAGATCTCCGACAGTCAATATTTCAGGTAAATTAGCTTAATGAAGGTATTAAAATGGAGGTTTTAAAATCCATCTTGAGCTGGCTTCTACATTTCATCTTATGTAGGTTAACAGCTGTTTTTCAAAGCTGCTTAGGAAAATCCTACATCTTCCAGTTCATAGAAAGGTGAACCAGCAGTTCTCCCCTATTCCTGTGCACTTCCCATCAGCAGCTTTTCAAATAGAGCATTGGACTGGCACCTTTTATTTGGGGGCCCAAAAAGTATATAGTTTCTTTTTGGGAGAAATAAATGAAAGAGAATTATTTTTCAGAGGGAATGAGATGGTGAGCATATTGATTAAGACCAAGAACCACTAAACAAATAAGAGCAACTAATTTTGTGCCTTTGGGTATATAATAGCATTTATTAATAAGATTTTTTTTTCTTTTGTTTGGTGCTAGGAATGGAATCCAGAGCTTTGTGCATGCTAGGCAGACACTCTTAACAGTAAACTGCACCCCCTAGTCCTAAAACTAGTATCTACTAATGAAGAAAAATATCTATTAGTCTCTAGTTAAAAATACCATCATAATCATTGTCTTAATTGTTTATCCATCTATGTTTTAATGATGATGATAATAATAACAGCAACAGTAGTGCTCTATATTTTACTTACAGTGCTTTCATATGAATTTTACAATTTGGTTCTTTAACCTTCTGAGGGCAAGCTATTCATTTTGAGGATGAAAGAAGTTGTAATTTACAGAAACCTATATTGTCATTGCTCAGCCTTGCAGGACGGTGGTGCGGTTCTGGTCTCTTCATCTCTTGTTCTTTTCCATGGTCGGGATTCTTCACCCCACACTATTTCTTGACCAAGAAAAAGGGAAATAGAAAATGTAAGCATTTTGGGTTTTGTCCCCAAAATAAATGAATTTGCAAAACAATGATATCCCCCACAAATTATCAGCTTTCTTTTGATTTTTTTTTCTACTAAGAAAAGCAAACCAATTTTCTTTTTTAAATAATTGATTTTTGTGTATGTATGTGTGTGGTGCTGAGGATTGGATCCAGGGGGTACTTTACCTCAGCCTTTTTTTTTTTTTTTTTTTTTTGAGATAGAGCTCACTTAGTTGCTTGGGGCCTGACTATGGGTTTGAACTTTCAATCCTGCCTCGGCGTCCTGAGCTGCTGGGATTGTAGGCATATGCCCAGTCCTTTTTTGTTCTAATTAGTTATGCATGACAGTGGAATACACTTTGATACTTCATACATAAATGGAGTATAACTTCTCATTCTATATGCTGTAGAATCAAACCAGTCGTGTAGTGATACATACAATAAGATAATAATGTCCGATTCATTCTACTATCCTTCCTACCCTTCACTCCCTTCTGCCTAATCCAAAGTAACCCTGTTCTTCCCTAGCCCCCGCCTTATTGTGAATTAGATCTGCATATCAGAGAAAACATTTGGCCTTTGGTTTTGGGGGATTGGCTTATTTCGCTTGGCATGATATTCTCCAACTCCATTCATTTACTGGCAAATGCCATAATTTCATTCTTCTTTAAGGCTGAGTAGTATTCCATTGTGTATATATATCACCTTTTCTATATTTATTTATCTGTTGAAGGGCACCTAGGTTGGTTCCATAGTTTAGCTATTGTGAGTTGAGCCATTGATGTGGCTGCATCACTACGATATGCTGATTTTTTTTCCTTTGGGTATAAACTGAGGAGTTGGGTAGCTGAGGAATCTTCATACCACTTTCCATAGTGGTTGCACCAATTTGCAGTTCCACCAGCAGTGTATGAGTGTGCCTTTTCCCCCATATCTTGCCAACTTTTATTGTTGCTTATATTCTTGATAATTGTAATTCTGTCTGGAGTGAGATGAAATCTTAGAGTAGTTTTGATTTGCATTTTTCTAATTGCTAGAGTTTTGAACATTTTTTAATATATTTGTTGATTGATAACATTTTTTCTTCTCTGAAGTGTCTGTTCTGTTCCTTAGCCCATTTATTGATTGATTATTTGGTGTGTGTGTGTGTGAAGTTTTTTGAGTTTTTTATATTTCCTGGAGATTAATGCTCTGTCTGAGGTTCATTGGTAAAGATTTTCTCCCACTCTGTAGGCTCTCTCTTCACATTACTAATTGTTTCCTTTGCCGAGAAGCAGCTTTTTAGTTTGAATCCATCCCATTTATCAATTCTTGATTTTACTTCTTGCACTTTAGGAGTCTTTTTAAGGAAGCCAGATCCCAAACCAGCATAGTTTTATTTTTATTTTGAGACAGGGTCTTACTAAGTTGCTGAGGCTGGCCCTGAACTTAGGATTTCCTGTCTCAGCCTCCCAATATCTGAGATCCCAGTTGTATACCACCAAGCTGGGCCTTCCTTTTTGTGCAGCTAGAGAATAAGAATTAGCGGGTTGGGGATGTGGCTCAAGCGGTAGCACGCTCGCCTGGCATGCGTGTGGCCTGGGTTCGATCCTCAACTTACAAACAAAGATGTTGTGTCCGCCAAAAACTAAAAAATAAATATTAAAATTCTTTCTCTCTCTCTCTCTCTCTCTCTCTCAAAAAAAAAAAAAAAAAAAAAAAAAAAATTAGTGTGGTCTAGAATCAGTGCCAATGATATAAAAAAGTGTGGCTCTCGGGCAGAAATTTGTAAGCTGGCCTGCTGAGCAGTTTGCTTTCTGATAAAAATCATTTTCATGTAAATACAGTCATTCAGATGTGGAAGAGATCAAGAATGGAAGAGGTTAGCCATCTTTAGATTTGACTAATATAATGAGAATATTGTCTTATTTCCAAATTTTTGGTGTTGGGTAGGGATGGGATGTTCCTCTTCTTGCTTTCTATGTAAGTCGGCACAGTGTTGTTCTTATTAAATCTGGAAATGTATTCATATGTTACTTTTCATTTTTCTCTTCCTCAGCTACTAGAATTTTGGGAAGGAGACATGGTTCTTAGTGTAGCAAAGCATGTACCAGCAGGACTTCACATTTATCAGACACTCGATGGTAAGATAATTATGAAAACACAACTAATTTTGTGTAAGTTGTAGATGGACACAATACCTTTTTTTTATGTATTTTTTTAATGTGGTGCTGAGCATTGAACCCAGTGTCTCCCACATGCCAGGCAAGCGTGCTATCATTGAGCTTCAACCCCAGCCCCACAACAACTAATTTTATGTATTTACTTTTGTGGGATTCACCTGTGATTTCCTCTTTGCTAGTATTTCCCCCACCTACTATTTTCGTAACTATATAGCTACCATCACACTGTAAGCTTTCAAAAAGAAATAATCTAATTTATAATATACCAAATTTATGTGTGTGAAATCTTCCTAACAGAAGTAAGGCACCTTCCTTCCTTGCTTCCTTTCTTTCTTTCTTTTTTTTTTTTTTAATTGTTGATGGATCTTTATTTTATTAATTTATGTTGTGCTGAAAATGGAACCCAGTGCCTCACATGTGCTGGGCAAGTGCTCCACCACTGAGCTACAGCCACAGCAAGTAAGGCAAATTTCTTAAAAATGTTTTTTAAATGCCTTAGTATTTTTACAATATTACCATGAACTTTTGCACAAAATGGTTTAAAATAATTTGAATCTTATTTATGTGGCTTGATTTTCTTCTGTGCAACTCTCAGCCTAAGATTTTATAGCAAAACAAAAGTGTTCTGAGAGTTTAAAAGTATGTATTTCCTTTAAATAACATAAACAATGATAACAACAGTAGTAATAGTAACATTTATTCATTTTGGACTTCTCACTATACCAAATCTTGTGATAATAGTTTCATGTTCATTTTTCTTTGATTTTCACGAACTTCTTTTACCCCCATTTCATAAATGAAAACACTGAAGCTGAGAGGCTTGAGGCACACACTTATAGCTGGTTGGTGGTAGAGCCGGGCCTGCTGCTGCCTGCACCTAATTCCTGTTCAGCAACTATTGCAGCGCTGTGCACTGCCGCACAGTCAGCCTTTGTCCTGGCTAGTCCTGCCACCATGCTTGCAAAGTGATGTAACAGCATTTTTAAGTAAAAATAAAAATGATAGTATGATAAAATATTTACATGACCCAGCTCTTTCCTCAGCTAGATCATTTCTGATGATCATGATTAATGGTATCACTACCCTTTCTAGGAGATGAACTGTCGCTGTGTGAAGTTGACATTGCTGATGGGGAAGACATCTTTGTATGGAATGGAATGGAGGTAAAAAAAAAAAAAAAAAAAAAATCACTGAAAAAAAATGATAATTTTGGATTTTTAAAAGTCATTGTAATGAAATTTTGTCCACTACATGTGAAGGCAATTGGACATTAGAAAACTCCTGAAATATCCCTACATTTTAGTCCAGTCAGTGGTAGTTGCATATCAAAGAGAGACTTATTGAGACTTTCCTTGTGCCAGGCTGTGTGTCACATGCTGGATGCGGAGGTCAGTCAGCTTCCTTCAGGCACTCACAGTGCGAACAGCACCACAAGTGCTGTAGTAGGGCAGGCATAGCACCTACTGGTATCAGAGGGCTTGGCCAGCTGTGTTGAGTTAGGGAAGGTGGAGCCTTGGAGGAGGAGAGTGAGTTTCCTGTCTCAGAAGATGCATCCTTGGGCCTTCTTCTCACACCCACTGATAACTCATTAACCTCCACCTCCAGTCCAGATTTCTCTCCTAAGAAAGAAAATATGGATATGAGAAGCTCTTAAACAAAATTTTTAAGTTGTTCCTCTGATACTTAAAAAAAAAAATTTGAAAATTGAAAATTTTATTTCACTTGGGAAAAGATGAGGTTTGGGGTTTTGTTTATTACAAGAGTAGTATATCATTACTAGTGATGATGTTGATTTCACAAATACGAACTATGCCAGGTTTTTCCATACTGTTGCAGGTTGGAGGAGTCCAAATTGAGACTGGGATTGACTGTGAGCCTCTGCTGTTAAACATTCTTCATCTGGAGTCAAGTGGTGAAGGCAAGAAGCGTGGGCGACTGATAGAATCGCCACATGTCTTTCCTGCTAATGCGGAAGTGGGTACTGTGTTCACAGCTGCGGCCATCCCAGCAGGCATCATCCTTGTGAACAGCACCAGGTCTGCAGATGAAGAGAGCTGGACCACTGTGCCCGAGGAAGACATGAAGAAGACGTTCAGAGAGCAGGGGCTCAGAAACGGAAGCTCCATTCTAGTTCAGCCTCCTAATAGTGAGGATAGGAGGTAAAAGATGAAAAGGGAGAATTTTTCTAAGTTATTTTAATGATAGTATCATCCAATAGAACTCTAAAGCTTTATTTTAATAATAAGAATTAAATGTTTATTTCTAGACATATGTATGAAATATGATGTCAAGAGCTTTGTAATGTTTTGAACAACCAATTAAAAAAAAAAGAAAGAAAAAAAAATAGACATATTCTAAATATTGTATATAGGGATGTCTTATGCAACTTAAAGGGGTAAAAATGTTGAAAAGTGATTTTCTGATAAATATGGTAACAAAAATAATATAGATATTCCTGGTTTTATAGCCTATATGTGATCTAAATTAGTTGGCTATTCAGCAAAATCTTATTAAATGAATTCTGATTAGCGTAAGTTATAAAAAAATAAAGGCATATTCTCACAGAAAATTCCTGAAATTCTACATGAAAAAGGTATTAAGAGTATGGCTAAATTATGTTCGGATATTTTTTTAAAATATATTAATTGACAATCTTTATTTAATTTATTCATTTATATGTGATGCTGAGAATCGAACCCAGTGCCTCACACATGCTGAGCAGGCACTTTATCACTGAGCCCCAGCCCCAGCCCTATGTTTGGATATTTTGGTTTTTGTCTTATATTGTTTTTGTTGTTTTGTTTTTTGGTGCTGCATCTAGAAGCCAGGGCCGCACCCATACGATAGGCAAGCATGCAATCAACCACTAAGCTGCACTCCTAGCCCTGGATATTTTTTTCACAGAGACCTGTAAGGCAGTTCAGTTTTTTCTTATCATCTCTTTATGATACTGAAGAACCTCCTGGCTGCCCAGTTAGAGAAGTTAGCTGCAGAATCACCCCTGAAGCCCTGTGGTCATGTTTGCACTGTGCCACTTTTGTTACCCACATGTGGGCCAATACATTTCTATGGCCAGTGTGTCCTACAAGCATAGCCCTGTGGACTGAGTTTGTTTTATATGACATTTATCACTGATACTCTTTTGAACAGGTGCCTTGCAGACATGTGTTTCCCCGTCTTGTTTACAAGAAAGTTTATTATATAATCATTTATAAAGGTGATCTGCATTTACTAGGACTTAGAGAGTAAGGAAGGGAACACAGAGGAGACCTGAGGTAGCAGCCCCAATGCAGCGTCAGTCACTATGGCCTCCAGTAGCTTTCCTTTTCTTCTGAACTCAAACACTGTTTTGAAGGGTTTTTTATCTTTTTCAGCATAATGATTGTTTTGTAGTTTTTTCCCTGCTTTCTCCTCTTTCCGATGTTTGTAGATGTTTTGTAAACCTCATTTGATGGTTACCTAATAATAATCTTTGTGTGCCTGGCAGACAGCACACTTTGCCTCTCCGTGCCTGATAGGACAGCAAGATGCGGGGGGCGGGAGGGTGAACACTTGGGAGCCAGCTGCCTGGGTTTCTTCCCAGTTTTTCTACTTATTGCCACAGTGACCTTGGACAAGTAGTTTCATCTCTCTCTCTCTGTTCAGTTTCTAATGTAAAACAGAGGTGATAATTAGTGAGAGCTTTTTAGTCATAAAGAACTAAATCCTCAGAGCATTTGCACACAGTGCTAAATGTTTTTAGTTAACATCTTCAGCAGCAGCAGGAGCAACAACTGCATCCAATTTTCTGCTTTCAAGGTAATCTTCTAGGGAATATCTTGCACTTCAAACTTTGTTGTGTTTAGGATCGCTAACTTGAGGTGGAGTCCCAGGGTGGAATAATTGAAATAAAGGATAGAATTGTGTTTTAGGGCGCTGATAAAATTCCCAAAAAGGACTTCTGATGGCTCATTTTTTCTTATGGCTGAAGGAAGATTTGTTAGAACATAATATTCTACTGCCAACTGCTAACATAATAAAAAAAACAAAACTCTTAAAAAATGAAAATACAAATATATAGTATATACAATGCGTGTAGCACTCCTGTGATGTGGCTGATGTGGCACTGTTGTGCAGTGACAGTTTGCTCACTTGTATTGGCTGCCCTGTTATATCTGAATCCCAGGGTATGGACCTTGGCAGTCTTTCAAAGGTTCCCTAGGGTTTTCAGTGTATAGTCAAGAGTGAACAACTGAATGTTCACTTTCCAACATTTCCCCTTGAAAACTGTGGCACAGAATATTTGTACAATTTTAAGTCAAAGAGTATTTGAAAGCTATAAGATTATGGACTGAATGGATCGTTGCCTAACATTACCCTAAAAAGAGCTAACTTTTATAGAGACAGCTCAGTAAAATATAATCATCTTTCACTAGTCTCTTTAAGGCATACATGCAGAGTTTTGGAAGTGTGCCTAAAGAAAACCATTAATTTTCTGATTTATAAAGCGCCACAAAAAGACACATTTTTAATGTCTTTTTACCTTTACCTACAGTGTGTTGCCCAAAGAAGGGAAGTGGATGAATGGTATGAATGAGATCGACTGGATCCAGGTTAAAAATTTATGCCAGCTAGAATCTGAACAAAAGCAAGTTAAAATATCAGCAACTGTTCACACAGTGAGTAGATCATCATTAAAATTTGACTGATAGTTTTTCAGTTAACAGAATTTTTATTTAGACAGCACTGTTTAAATTTCAGAACAGTTCTCTCAGTAGACTTCTAAATCTTAAGAAAAATCAATTTTTTCATATTTAACACTTAATTTTTTTTTTTAAAGAGAGAGAGAATTTTTTAATATTTATTTTTTTTGGTTTTTGGCAGACACAACATCTTTGTTTGTATGTGGTGCTGAGGATCGAATCCGGGCCGCACGCATGCCAGGCGAGCGTGCTACCGCTTGAGCCACATCCCCAGCCCCTTAACAATTATTGCCTCCCTGTACTAGCCATGGGTCTATTCCAAGGAAATATGTCCTGTTCCCCGTCCCCCATCCATGCCCCCGCCCCCACTCCCATTTTTTCCTTCCCAACTCCAGAGCCTAAAATTAGAATGTGGGAATTGCCTACTTAGTTAGTTCATGAAATCCTCTAGTTTTGATGAGTACAAAATGCTTTTTCAAGGGTCTTTTCTGTATTTTTTAAAATCAGGTAGATATGTGTGTAAATGTGTATATGTGTTTTGTTTTTGTGTTGTGGGTTTTGTTTTTATCTCAAATTGCTCTACCTTATACTCTGCTTTATGTAAAGCCAACTACTCTTAAAAGGAATTCCCTCCAGTTTTCTATTTGAAGAAGATGATACTGATTTCTTTAAACATTATTTTTTTATATTTATGTAGTCCCAATATAGTTTTGTTTTTTGTTTTTTGTTTTTTTGGGGGTTTTTTCCTATAACAAGTTAAAAGAAACTTACTAGAATGGTGTTTCCTTTTACATCAGTTTTATAATTTCTTAAGGTTCAGTGCTGATACAATAGAAGAGAGCATACAAGACCAGGGTACTAACACTCAGCAGACTAGTTCCTGACCCTAAGTTGGAGACTTTGGTGAAGTCCTTTATTACTTCAGACTGTTTCTTCTTGACCCCATATTAGATACTGGTGGAAGGTTAGAGGAGATGGTGTGTAACATCAGTTTTACCACTAAATGTCCAACATTTTATGGCCTACAGGAAATTAGCCTAAACTAGGTATTGTGCATTTTTACGTCATTTATGCTTTTGGGACCTGGAATGTGATGATTGCCTCCAGTTTTTTTTTTTGTTTTGTTTTGTTTTGTTTTTTTTTTTGTTCGTTTGTTTTTGTTTTTGTTTTTTTTGGCTTTGATCAGAAAGGTGAGTGGCTTCCTGCTTTTCAGCTATGTTTCTTTAGTCCTTTTTGTCCCAGTTAGCACCATTTTAGTAAAAATTACTAAGATCTATTCTGACTAAAAGGAACTAATTTTAAACATTTAAAATTTTTAAAAAAAGATTTATTCTGAGCTTTTGCTATTGATCTTGTAGAATTTCAGAGATGGGGAAAAAGCTTTTTTCAAGTTGGAAAAATACGTGCCAGGTGGTTCATGTCTCAGCTGATGTAGGTGTGCACATGCTGCTGGTCTTCATTGTCATCTCCTCCTGTTCAACTTATACATATTCATTAGTTTATTTCTCTATTTTAGGTGGTGTTTGATATTCGAATTAAAGCCATAAAGGAATTAAAATTAATGAAGGAACTAGGTAATCATTTACATTTGCTTTTGGTTTTTGGTTTAATTTAGTTTGGATTTTTTGTTGAAAAATATATGGGAAAGTACAAAAATAATTTAGGAAAATCTCATGCACCTACCACCCAAAATGGACAAATGTTAACATTTTGTCATATGTTTGTTTTTGTTTGAAACATTATAAAGTCCTTCGTGTTCTCCTTCTCAGACCTATTCTCCTTCGCTCCCTAGATACAACCAGTATTTTTGATTTGGGTGTGTATATAGACATTTATACATATTGTACCATATATTATAAATACATATGTGTGTATACATATATGTAGACAGATTTGTCATACTGAATACAACATTCTGCAACCTTACTATTCACTCCACATCATGTTTAACAACTTTATTGAGATATAATTTATATACAAAATATTCACTTTTCTTTTTCTTTTTCTTTTTTTTTTTTTTTTTTTTGGTGCTAGGAATTGAATCCAGAAGCACTCTATTTACCCCAGCCTTTTTATTTTTTATTTTGAGATAGGGTATTACTAAGTTGCTGAGGCTAGCCTTAAACTCATGATTCTTCTGCCTTAGCCTACAAAGTTGCTGGGATTAGAGGTATACACCATTGTGCCTGGCTAAAATTCACTCATGTGTAATTCAGTAATTATCAGTAAATGTATAGAGTTGTACACCAATTCAGTTTTTTTAATATTTATTTTTTAGTTGTTGGGCACAATACCTTCATTTTATTTATTTATTTTTATGTGGTGCTAAAGATCGAACCCAGGACCTCGCACGTGCTAAGCAAGCACTCTACCACTGAGTCACAACTCCAGCCCTACCAATTCCATTTTAAAACATTTCTGTCACCCCAAAAAGATCTCTTATGCCCATTTGTATTCTGAGACTGTATCCAGTGACTAATCCACTTTCCATCTCTTCAGACTTGATTTTCTTGACATTTCATACAAATAGAACCATACAATCTTTGTGTGTGACTTCTCTTACTTACCATACTATTTTTGAAGTTTGCCCATTATTTAGCATTTATAAATAGTTTATTTCTTTTTATTGCCGGCTAGTGGTCAACTGTATGGACATACCACATTTTATTTGTTTATTCACCAGTTGATGGACATTTGGAATACTGCTGTAAACATTTGCATGTAAGTCTTTGGCTATTTATTTTCAGTTCTCTCAGGTAGATGCACAGGATTAGAACGCCTGGGAAATTTATGTTTAACTTTTTACGAAAACTGCCAAATGATTTTCCCAAGTGCCTGAACCTGTGCGTTCCCAATAGCAGCGTGTCAGTATTGCAGTTTCTTCATACCCTTGCCAATATTTGTAGTTATCTTTTTATTATAGCCATTCTAGTGAATGGGAAGAAAAATTAGACATTTTTACAAAGACAAATGTCCATAACCAAAAACTGGCCACAATCCAGATGTGCATGAGCAGGTGTCTAGATAGACAAATTGTGGTATTGCCAGTTTGTGGGGTGCTATTCATGTCTGAAAAGCGGCAAACTCCAAGTTCTGCCACATGCAAAATATGTGTGAATCTCCAGTCATTATATGAAAGAAAGTAAACGTAGAAAAGTACATTCTGTATGATTCCAGGAATGTGAAATTTTAGAAAAAGAAAATTTAAGTCATAGCCACAGAAGGCAGACAAGGGATTGACTGAAGTGTGACACAGTGGAATTTTGGGGGTGATACAGATTTTATCTCGGTTTGCTGGTTTTGCTGAATGTTTATATATTTATCAAACTCTATGAACTCTACACTTAAAATGGATGTTTTATTGTAGGTAAATTATAATACCTTGGTAAAGTTCATAAAAAGTATACATTTTATTAAAATGAATGCTTCGTTACCTTGTCCTGTAGCTGGTCTCCCCCTTCTACTCTTGCTCATGTAGCAAGTGATTCTCTTAAACCTGTGAGCTAGACCTTGTCACTCCTGTGCTCAGGGCCCTGTCGTGCTTCCCTTGCACATGGGTCAATTCCTTAACGCAGCCCACGGGAACCTGCATAACCTGACCGCTGCTCAACCTCGACCTCACTGCAATCCACTCTTCTGCTTTCTTATCACACACCCAGCAGGCTGCCTTCTTGGGGTTTCTCTGTGCTCTCCAGTGAGGAACCAGCCCTGCTGGCACTGCTGCAGAGACAAAGCGTTTCAGTCCTCGAAAGTTTCTGATATTGTAAATAAATGTATAAGTGTTAGCTTTGCTATTTTTCTTTTCTCTACATGTATAACCAACAAAGAGTTTTAAAAGTTTTGGCAGATTTTTAAGTCGTAGACCCATCGGAACATTTCCACTGATTATTAAAATGGATGCACAATTCTATTGTGTGTTTCTATAGTCCAAACTGCTGTGCAGAGTGAAGGCTGCCCAAATGTGGGGGTCTTTTGTTCTTTTTTTTTTTTTTTTAATTTGGGTTTTTTATTCTATTTTAGATTTCTGCTAATTAACACTAGCAAAGAGCATCTCTCTTTGGTGAATAACATGCTTATTTTTATTTATAGCAGAGAACAGCTGTTTGAGACCTATTGATAGAAACGGGAAGCTCCTTTGTCCAGGTTAGTCTTGTTGGTAGCTTTCATCCACTGTTGGTAGCTGACATCAACTCATTCCATCCTTGTCTCTGTCTTCCCCTAAGCAATGGCTTCCAATACCTAATGCTCTCTTTTTTGCTTATTTCTTTTTTCTTTTGTTCTGGTGGAGGGTGGTGTGGGCATTCAACCCAGAGCCTTGCACATGCTAGGCAAGCAGTCTACCACTGAGCCTCACACCTAACCCCCTGCTACTCTTAAATTACTTTCATCGAGGCATCTTATCCATGTGTTAAGAAAACCTTAACATTTTTGTTCTCTGAAATGAAACACTTTCTGATGCTCTGGTTCTTGTTTTAGTCATGGTTTGGATCTCATTATCTCTTTCTAGTCTTATTTTTTTCAGTTTTCGGTGGGTCATTCCTGCTTTTATTGTTATACTGTATGGAACAGAGTCTTTGGTTCTCACCTAACACCTTTCATTAGATTGGTGATTTAGTTATGGATGAGCCTATCATTATTTGGTTCTCACTGCCACTTGAAACATGGAAGAAGTTAGTCCATTAAGTATAAGTTTTAAATACTCATAGCTGCCTTTCAACTTCTTAGTATTATACAGATAATAATAAAGTATGAAAATTGAAAATTAAACATAGCCATTATCTGTATAATTTTTTTGCATGAAGTGCAACTTTTTACTTCTTTTTTAATATTCTTGAGTGGTGGGGGTAATGTGAAAATTCATTACTGGTGTGGTGATGCTGAGGATTAAACCCAGGGCCTCACTAATGCTAAGCATGTACTCTACCACCGAGCTACACCCTAGCCTCTTTCTTGACCTTCTTAATTTTCAAAGACTATCTACTTTGATGTAATATTTTGCTGAGACATGGGAATTCAGAACATCATCATTTTCTCAAAATTCTTTATAGTGCCAGATGGTTCCACTTTGAAGGAAGCAGAAGTGAAGATGGGGAGTTCTTTGGGACTGTGTCTTGGAAAAGCACCAACTTCCTCTCAGGTACAGTAAGATACCTTTAGGTATCCCCCTTCCCTCATCAGAATGTCTGGATTTATAACTAGTAACCTACTCCAGTAATACTGGTGTTACCTAAAAGTTTTTTGTTGTTATTGTTCTTACTGCTTTAGGAGTATATCCATATAGTTTCCTGTGTTTAAATAAAAAATGTTATGTGAAAGTATATTTATAAGGTTCTTTCTCTGTAAAAATTTTATGTTTAAAGGGGATGTTTAAGGTTGAATGGCCACCAGTTCCAGCCACTTTGTTTCATAAATTCTGAGATGCACTTTCCCCCGCATGTTAACACCTATAAAATTAGGAGGCTCCTGTGTCAGTGGCATTCTGCAGTTCTGCTGGCATTGTTGTGGTGTGGTTTTTTGTTTTTGTTTTTATCGGAACAGAAAATGATGAGTCTTAGCAGTCAGCGTTTTTTTATTTAATGGAATACAATATATTGATTTTGGATTTAAAATTACTCTCTGCAATAATGTAATAGTTATAGTAGCCTCCCTTCCCCCTCATCTTTATCAGTGTTCATTTTCTGTGTAAAATGCTATCAGGTAATGTTGCCAGAAGCCCTACCTAGTTAATAAACTTTTATTATAGCCCAGAAGTCATAATGATATCCTTATTGATAATATCCTGTATCAAGGCAGTCTGGACTCATGTCAGGTTCCCCCAGGGCTCCTGAGTCCACTTTGTTAGTTTCCCTTGTGTTGTTTTTTTTTTTTTTTTAATTGGTGCATTATAATTATACATAATAACAGAAATCACTACACCATATTTGTACACGCATATAATATAATTTGGTCAGTCTTATTACCTACCTGCCCTTTCCCTCTCCCCTTCCCTTCACCATCTGCTCGCTGCACTCTACTAATTATTCTATTATTGTTATTATTTTAATTAGTGCATTATGAATATTTATACATATATAACTATTTATAAATATAGACACACACATGCATACAGGATTCATGTGGTATGTTCATACATAGACATATAATAATTAGGTAGATTTCCTTCCTCTATGCTTCCCCAGGCTCTCCCCTCCTCCCTTTCTCTCCATCCTTTTCTACTGTATTGGTCTTCCTTCTATTTGTATACGATTCCCCTTTTTGTTTTGGTTTCTTTTTAATTCCTTTTTTTCTTTCTTTTTTTTTTTGGTGCTAGGAATCGAACCCAGGGCCTTATGCATGCAAGGCAAGCTACCAACTGAGCTATATCCCCAGCCCTTTTTTTTCTTTCTTTTGTTCTTTCTCTCTCTAGCTTCTGCATATAAGAGAAAATACTCAATCCTTCACTTTCTGATTCTGATTTATTTCACTTAGCATAACATTCTCCCTAATAATGCAAAATATAAAGAACTCAAAAACCTTACCACCAATCACAACCCCTTTAATTTTCTTCCCCCTTAAACACTAGCAAATAGCAGGACCTGATAAGCTGACAGGAGGACAAACATGACAGGCAAGGTTGAATTAGAAAGGCGGGGTAGGGCTGTCAGAACCTGGATTGACAAGAGGTATGTTTATAGTTTTCCTATGGGATCTTGGGAATTATTATATGTGGAATCCTTAGTCAGAAAATCAAACCACAACCAGTGGTTCGCAGAAGAAACAATTAATGTTTATTGTGTGTAGTAACTGCAGATTTCTCTGGGAGTGACTTGGGTCAGAGCTGGACTTTTTTTTTTTTTTAGTTATACATGGACATAATATCTATATTTTATTTATATTTTATGTGGTGCTAAGAAACTAACTCAGTTCCTCACATGTGCGAGGCCAGTACCTTGCCACTGAGCCACAATCCCAGCTCCAGAACTAGATATCTTAGTAGAAGAAATAGTGCCTGTCTGGGCATGGTGGCACACACCTATGATCACAGCCACTTGGGAGGCTGAAGTAGGAGGATAACACTTGCAGGCCAGCCTCAGCAATTTAGTGAGACCCTGTCTCAAAAAATAAAAAGGTCTGAGGATGTAGCCCAGTAGTAAAACATCCCTGGGTTATATCCTTAGTACAAAAAAAAAAAAAAAAGAAAAGAAAAGAAAGAAAGAAATAGTACCTGTGATAGATGTTTATGAGGAGTAAAAACATTAATGATGAAGCATTTTATATCGCTAGGTGAGTTATTGTTTAAGATGCACTTTCCCCCGCATGTTAACATCTATGAAATTAGGAGGCTCCTGTGTCAGTGGCATTCTGCAGTTCTGCTGGCATTGTTGTGGTGTGTTTTGTTGTTGTTGTTTTTATCGGAACAGAAAATGATGAGTCTTAGCAGTCAGCATCTTTTATTTAATGGAATACAGTATATTGATTTTGGATTTAAAATTACTCTCTGCAATAATGTAACAGTTATAGTAGCCTCCCTTCCCCCTCATCTTTATCAGTGTTCATTTTCTGTGTAAAATGCTATCAGGTAATGTTGCCAGAAGCCCTACCTAGTTAATAAACTTTTATTATAGCCCAGAAGTCATAATGATATCCTTATGGTTAATATCCTGTATCAAGGCAGCCTATGACATTAAATGTCTCAGCACAGTCTCGTTTTACATAACTTGAGGGTTTTCATTTTGATTTGTTTGTCTTTACAGTACTGGGGATGAACTCATGCATGCTAGGCAGTGCTTTACCACTGAGCTACATCCACAGAACTGAGTTTTTATTAATGTTTCATGGGCCCTGGGCTTTTGGGAGAAGTGAATAATGCAATCATACGATTTTTAAGTTCAGGTTAAATTGCATCTATACTTCTGGCTTGCTCTTAGCTGTTCCTGTTTTTTGCTTGGGGGACTAATATTCAACCTGGGACAGAGATGGAGGTCATAGTAGAAGAAACATTGTCTGTGAAAGATGTAAGTAATTTTACTTTTTGGTTTGGGACACTCAGTATTTGGTATGGGGAGTGGTATCCTGCGCTAGGTCCTAAGATGAGGTTTACATAATGTACTTGTAAGAATTATGTGTGTTCACTAGAGGGGTGGTTCAGAGAGCTTGAAAATTAATTGGCAAGCCAGCTGGGATGTTTAAGTTAGATTGTTTCTACTGTTTTTTTTTTTTTTTCCTTATCTAAATATCAGTAATACTTATTATAGAAATTTGGGGAATGCAGAAATTGATTAAAACAAAATTCCTCATATTTCTTATCCCACTAATACTAACATTTCAGTATATTTTCTTCTGGTGTTTTCACTTTTTTTTTTTTTTCCTTTCTTTTTTAGTTGTAGACAGACACAATCGCTTTATTTATTTATTTTTATGTGGTGCTGAGGATCGAACCCAGTGTCTCACACATGCAAGGCAAGCGCTCTACCACTGAGCTACAGCCCCAGCCCCTGGTGTTTTTACTTTATATACACACATAATGACACATACACAGATGTGAATTATATATATGAATGAGTATGATAGAACATGAATAATTGTATTGGTATCATCGAGAACTGGGACTTTTGGTATTGTAAAACAAAGACACAGATAAAAATAAGTGTGGTTAAATAAAAACCTCTACTCCTAAATTTGAATTAAAAGAGTCTGAATAAACTTCACCTATTTTTACTTTTTAAAAATTGTTTGTTTGTTTTGTTTTCTTTCTGGCTCTGTGCCCTGACATAGCTTAGAAACAAAACAGCCCTAGCACCCAGATTATGATTGCAAAGTACCATTTCATACTAAAAGGAACCAGGCACCTTGAATTAAGGGCTGGTTCTGTAGCCCTAGTCACAAAATGTGTGAGCTAAACCTGGAACATGTTGTCATCACAGAAAGCAATGAAGCTACTAATAAAGATTTATTGGAATTATCAAAGAGACTTAGGAGTCTAGTCATTTAAGATGAGACAGTTTGAACATTAGGGAGAATAATAATTAAAGTGTATACTAGGTAAAATTATTATAGAAATTTGGAATATGTAGAAATGGATTTTTTAAAAAAATTAAAACCCCTCATCCCTTATCTGTGTATGAATGTAAAATTCATATATATTCCCTATCTACATATGTAAAATCTTGATACCACACACATAAAATCTATGGGCAGGCTCATAATGACCATAACAGGAAATATTCATTGGTACCTACCATGGGTAAAAGAGGAGAGAAATAAGCATTTATCTCATTTTTCCTCTGTAAATTATACCTCAAGGTGGCTCACTATATAATATTTTTCTATATAGAACATATTCCAGCTAATAAAGAAGAAGGAATTTTAGAGCATCAGTTTTTCAATTTCTAATTAATAGATCAAGACAATGATCTTTAAACACTGAGAATAACCCAAAGAAGTGCAGCTCTTAGACACTCTAGAAGCTCTAGGATACCCTTACAAAAACAAAAAAAGGGCTGAGGCTGTAGCTCAGTGGCAGAGTGCTTACCTAGCATGCGTGAGGCACTGGGTTTAATCCTCAGCACCACATTACAAATAAACAAATTAAATAAAGGCATTTTGTCCATCTGCAACTACAAAAAAAATATATTAAAAAAAAAAAAACAACCTATGCGTCTTATTGAGCTACTGGATCTGACCACCAATTTTTTTTATTTTTATATTGTTTTTAATATATTTTTTTTTTAGTTGTAATTGGACACAATACCTTTATTTTATTTATTTTTATGTGGTGCTGAGGATCGAACCCAGGGCCTTGCATGTGCTAGGCGAGCGCTTTACCACTGAGCCACAACCCCAGCCCCCACATATTTATTTATTTATGTACTGGGGATTGAACCCAGGGGCATTTAACCACTGAGTCACATCCCCAGCCCTTTTTATTTTTGTTTTGAGACAGGGTCTCACTAAGTCGCTTAGGGCCTTGCTAAGTTATACTTGAACTTGTAGTCCTCTAGTCTCAATATGCGTGCACCACCATGCCCAGCCTGACTACCAATTTATAAGGAATAGGAGAGGTTTAATGCACCACAGGCCTGCAGCCAGCAGAATCCAGATTGGAAAACTCTTCTCAACAAATAAATTGCAGGGTCTGAGGGTACCTATAGGCTAAAGGAGGTTCAGACAAATAGCACCCCATTGCAAATGTGTGGATTTTATTTGGACCTTGGTTCAAACAAAAACAACAAAAAACAAAAGAAAACCCTTTATAATAACTAAAGAGAAAGTAGGGAAATTTGAACTGGGTATTTGTTGTTATTTACAAATCCTTAATTTGAAAAACTTTTAAGTTCTGAAGACGTTAATCACTTAAGGTTTATATTTTTAAAAGAATCCTTATCTTTCAGAAATGCATGCTAGCTATAGATGAAATAATATGTTATCAGGCATTTGGTTTTATTTTTTCCCCATTTTTTTATTGGTGCATTATAATTGTACATAATGACAGTGGCATTTACTTTTAAAGAATCTAGGTGTGTGCAAGCTGTATTCAGTTGCACACACCTGTAATCCCATCAGCTCAAAAGGCTGAGACGGGAGGATCACAAGTTCAAGGCCAGCCTGGGCAACTTAGTGAGACCCTATCTCAAAAAATAAAAAGGAATGGAGGGCTGCGGTTGTGGCTCAGTGGTAGAGCGCTCGTCTAGCATGCGTGAGGCACTAAGTTCGATCCTTAGCACCACATAAAAATGAAATAAAGATATTGTGTCCACCTACAACTAAAAAATAAATATTTTTTTAAAAAAGGAATGGGGATATGGCTCAGTGGTTAAGCACCCTAGGCTTCAGTCCCTAGTACAAAAAAAAAAAAAAAAAGAAGAAGAAGAAGAAGAATCTGGGGGAAGGACAGGAGGTGGATGTAAACAAGACTGGACATGGCAATAATTGAAATCATGAGTACTTGAGGAGGGTCATTTTACTAGTCTCTGCATGCAGTTGAAATTTTCCATGATAAAACATTTTTTACCCTTATTCTAGACTGTAAATATGTTCCAAATTTTTCGTTGGCCTTTTGTGTGTCTGTATGTACGTACTGGGGATTGAACCCAGGGTGCTTAATCACTGAGCCACATTCCCAGCCCTTTTTATTTTTTTATTTTGAGACAAAGTCTCTGTTGCTGAGGCTGTTTTGAACTTGGGATCCTCCTGCCTCAGCCTCCGGAGTGACTGGGATTACAGGCATGTGCCACCACATCCAGCTTTTATTGGCCTTTATTAACATGTATTTTTTCATTTCAAAGAAACCACAAAACTGTTCTGAAGAGTGACACACATCCTTTTCTTCCTGTGCTCTCTCAGCCCCACTGGGGTTCCATGTAGCTCTTCCTCAGGCTTCAGGGGGCCCCCTCACTGCTGCGCCCATCCATGAGCATCCAGTCTGTTCTCACCCTGCTGTGTGCATCCTGTCTGCTCCCAGCACTCCACGCTGTTGCTGGCTCTACTAGGAGTTTTTGTCTGTCTTCTGGGAAGTTAAGGAACTGAGAAGTTAAAGCTCTTCAGGTTTTCCTTCCAGTCCACCAGCCCACCTTTCTCAGCTTGTTCTTTCCCCCTCTCCCCCTTGCCTTTTGAGCATTCAGCTACAGATATACTTGGACTGGGCCCCTCTAGCCCCAGAGAATCCAACTGCCACCTAGGCTGTCTGAAATCCAAACTAGAGCACATCCCCAGCAGGACTCCTGGCCTCCTGAAATGTCTTCCACACATGTTTTTCTCTTCTTCAGCTAATGGCAGCTCCAATTTCCTATTTGCTCTGGCCAAAACCTTTATACCCCCTTGATTCTCCTTGTCTTACTTCACATCCAGTTTTTCAGGACCTTCTGTTGGTTCTGCCATCAGAATGCTGCTAGGATCTGGCCACATCTCGCTCCCTCTACCGCTGTGTCCCTGTCGAGCACACCACTGTCACTCATCTGCACTGTTCCACAGGTTCTTAACTGATCTCCTTGCTTCTAGCCTTGAACCTCCCAGGGTCCATTTTTATAAGGAAATTGAGTGATTTACTGTTTTGCTTTCAAAACTCTAGCCCCTACCCCACTGCTGGCCTCCTTGCTTTCCTCCAAAGCCCTTAAGTTTGGGTCCCCTGCCTGGAACACAGTTAAGATGAATGTTCTTTTGTTTTCATCCCTTAAGGAAAGCCTTTAAGGCTGCAGTTTTCTTTGAATATAGCTTTGTCCCCGTCACCCATGCTTTAACTATTGTGTTATATCATTGGCATTGTTTTCTAAATAACCTGTAAACACATACTTATACAACTAACTATAAATTTATTCCCAGTTTTTGAACTTCAGGGGGTTAAAAGTCTCTGCTGATCACCACCTCCCTTATATAGAAGGCACTGAGATGACCTGACATGTGCTTATCAATAGAGGTGTCCTCCCAGAGCACATGCCAGGGTACATAAAGGAATGAAGAACTCACTTTGTGTGTATCATGCCTCATGCACATACTAGACCTTTTGAAGTTCACTTAAAATATTTTAAACATCTAATACGACATATGAATCTGTTTTATTCTTTGAACTGCTAAGATGTATCTTCATTTTTTAAATGTTCACCCATTAATAGATATTTTGATTAATGGCCACTGTTTTCTTATTCTGAGCAGTACAAGAGTGACCATCCTTATTTTTATTTCTTTTTGCTCTAGGGTAGTATAAACACAATTTTATTTACTCTTTGACCCAAGATTTACTTTGGAATGTTTTTCCCTCAAAAAGTTAGAAAGTTGTTCTATTAAAACTTTTGTTCATATTTTCACATTTTTGCATTGTACCATGAGGGCACAACTTACACAATTCTTTCCTTGTGAGTTTATGTGTGATCATTTGTGTTTAATGGCTTCTAAATAAAGGTCAATCTCCTTTTATAGGATTCAGAGGTTATTATGTATCTGTGAAATCAGCCTTATCAATAATTTGATCAAATCACACTATTAATCCTCATGGGAAGGAAGTCGTGGCAGAGACACTGAAGGCAGTAAATGAAACTTGGAGCTGAGTCCTGGTTGGAAACACCAGGAAATGTTTCTCCTCCCTGAACTGACCCCCTCCCAGCTCCTAGGAAAGAGAGTTGGCTTGTCGATCATCTTAATTCTATGTGCCTTTGTCTATCCAAGAATAATGAATATAATCAGACTTAAGGCCCAGGGTTCAAAAAGGGTGTTTCTTCTTATACTATAATTCAGAAACAAAAACTAACTTTTTTTTTTTTTTTTTTTTTAGTGTTTAAAGATAATGCTTGAGAAATCTAGTCTGCCAGGTAAGTTATTTATCATGATGACATAATCTTATCCACATTCTTTACTTCAAACAATTATCTATAAGCCTAATAAAAACTTTTCAAACTTTCTTTTTCATAAAGATTGTGGAAAAAAAGTTTTATAGACTGCAGAAAAAAAAAATTTTAAATTTCTGTGTGTTCATAATGAATTCTCCTGGTTCTATTTACAAACTAAAAGAAAAGTAGTTTTAGGGTTAGCCTAGATAGAATCCAGCAAGGATGTAAAAGAAAGCAAGCTAAGATTTATACCACCTGGAGTTATCCACATCTAGTTCCACTGAAACATTTTTAGTCTTATTGATTCAGAATTTCAGTGCATCTATTTCATGTCAATATATGTGTATAATAGACTAGGGAATGGAATGTGAATGGAAAAAATTAATCCAGAGTAACTTACAGCAGCTTCCTGGGTGCAGTCATGTCACTGAGCTTGATGAGGAATCATGCTGCTTTTATTAGAACAGTTTGTCCCTCAGACACCATTGAAGTTGGCACCAGTGTGTTATCTGGAAGGGATGTTCACGTGCTCTGGATATAGGGCTGTCCTATAGAAGTACACAGGCAGTGTCTCATTGAATCTCACTGAATCTCAGCAGTAGCCTCCCAGGTGGGGGATGGTCACCCATTCCCATTTCACAGACAAGGAAACAGGCTGTGAAGGCTTAAATGGCTTGCCAGAGTTCCCCAGCCAATAGCTAGGCCTCTGCTCTCAAGGTCCAGGTTCTTCCCACCTGCTATGTTGTAGACTAATAGTGCTCACTTTTAACTGACTAGTAATTTTATAAGGTACTTAAGTTAATTTGAAATTGATACAAATCTTTCTGAATTTAAAACTAATGGTTAAAAAGGATCTACAAAAAAGTGTGCTGCAGGGGTTCAGAGACTGGCTGGTGGAGATGAGTAAGAACTTTGTGTTTATTCCTTTGCCCATTAGATGGTTTTGGTGCTACAGCATCTTGCTCATCAAATAATAGCTGGGGTTTTTGTTTGTTTGTAATAACCAGGGTTTCTAATTTTTGCCCCATTCAACTTTTTCCCCATTCAAAAAAAGTTCTCGTTTGGGGAGTGAGCAGCAAACAAGTGCACTGAAAAAGAGAGAGATCTGATTTAAGTCTATTTAACATTTATACATTTTCTTTCACATCAGTTTCATTCAGATACTCTTCAGAAAGTTCTAGTGCTGTGTTGTTTGATTAACTGCTAAGAGGAGGAATTTTCTTGTACAATTGCAGTTGCTGAGCAATTTTAGCATATACTTCAGCTATGACAAAAATCATCTTTAGTGCTGGGGTTGTGGCTCAGTGGTGGAGCACTTGCCTAGCATGTGTGAGGTACTGGGTTCAATTCTCAGCACCACATATAAATAAATAAAAATAAAAGTCCATTGACAATTAAAAAATTGTTTTTACAAGAGATTTGATACTTATATATATGTATGTCTATATGTATAGTGATATATGATCTGTATATATGTATACATGAAAAGAGTAAGGGTACAAAGTAAATATTGTATAATAGAAGCAAGTGTTTTTAGTCACAAATACATATATGAATATGTTGTTTTTATTCACAGGTTCTTGGTGAAAAAGAAAGCAAATTAACCAAATTGAGCAGGAAAACACAACTTTTTATGCTCTTGAAGAGATCATTTTAAAAACTAATGATTATTAGCAGATTAAGCCCCATTTGACATTCATTTATCCAGAATGGTTATTCCTACTGAATTCTTAAAACATACTCTCTGGGGTTTTTCATCCTAATATTGATTTCTTCATAGGAGATGCGTGGCATTTAAGAAAAATGGACTGGTGCTATGAAGCTGGGGAGCCATTATGTGGAGAAGTAAGAGGATTTCCATACCTTCTGCTCTGAAGATGATTGCGTTTCATACAGGATTTCTCCTTCCCGCCCGACTCATATAAAAAAATTTCTAGAGAAAACTTTCACTCTTTTTTAGGAAACAAAAAGCTAAGCAAGATCTATTTTCCCTTTCTTTGACTAGTTTTTCTGATACAGAGCAAGTCTGGACTAGGTGGAGGTGTTTCTGACATCCGTGATCGGCCCTGCTGGTGAGAGAGCATGTCCTAGACCAGTGCTCCACCAGGAAACAGAGCACTTCAGAGAGCAGAGGACACTGGAGCTCATGAAAGCATCTAAAGCACACTCTGGGTGCGGGGGCAGTACTGGAGTTTGAACCCAAGGCCTCACACATGCAAAGTATGCACTCTTATCACTGAGCCACATTCCCAGCCCACACTGAATTTTTGACCCCTTCATATTTTAATCTCAGTGTTTCTCTGTAAGTAAATGATGGTAGAATTCATCTTACCAGACAATCACTTGGTAGTGGTCCAAACTTTGGGTGCAGCCAAACTCTTAGGGTAAGTTTAGGAATAGTTTTATCACAGGATAGTTTGAATCTTGTTAAGCTTCTTATCGTTCGCCCAAATAGCACCAAACCTCCCAGTCCAAACCCAGGGCCTTGGAAGGAGGCCAAGTGAAGCTTCTTCCCAGAAACACTGTGGTCAGCTGCCCCTTTCCAGCCTTCACCTGCCTGCTGTTCACTAATAGCTGCATTGAACAGTCAAGGGCAGGGGTGCTGGGGCTTCCTCTGGAATACTCTGCCCAAACAGTTGATAAGACAAGATCAAGAGAAGCCTCCTTTGAGTCTTGGTTTGGATATCAGAATATTGATTCAGATAGTGAATTATTCACTATCTGAATAATTATTTCCCAGTGGGTATCAAACAATTCATCTAATATTAAAGTCATTTCCCTCAAAACTGTCTTCTCCTAGATTTGCCCTTTATTTCCCATCCTAACCTTTTCAGACTAAACTATCGCTTAGCATACCTACCTTTCCCTCCTTCAGGTTAGTCTCATACTTCAGGAACCTGCCAGCCTTTCCAGCCCTTCCTTGGCCATTTTCCTGCTGGCTCCCATTTCAAGCCACCCTTTGCCTGTTCTCTACACGGCTTCCCTGGGCCCAGGCATTTCAACCACCTTGGTCTTGAGTGCCGCCTTTATTTTTATTCCACATCCCTTCGGTTGGTGCCCACTTTTCCAAACTAATTTCTTTCCCATTTTTTCTTCAACTGGTACTTCCCACTCAGAGGTCAGTTTCTCAGCTCTTTGCGGAAACAAACCATGGTTATTGTCAGTTTTGACTCTGCCCTTGTTCTTTTCTTCATAAGAAATCCTCTTCTCTGGAGCCCTCTAGCTTTCCAAATCCCCCACACAATTTTAGGTATGATTAAAATCTCATGGGGCACAAGTCAAGTCTGTCCTCACCCATCTCGGTTGTCTCCCTATCCTCAACCCTTTGAAGATACTTAAGGGTTTACATGCCACAATTTAATATGTAATGCCATTCTGCTTTTGTAGTCCTAGCTTACTTCCTTTGTCTTCAGTATCTACTTTGTTATTCACTTATTTATTTCTTGAAAATGTAATAGAGGTTTAAAAAAAAAAAAGAGCCTATGGTGTGTTTATTCCTCTCAGAAGTCTTAAGTGACAAAAAAGAATTTCTGTGTTCCCAGGATGCAACACTGCAAGAGCTTAGGATATGTTCTGGAGACACATTGCTTCTAATTGAAGGAAAACTTCCTCTTCCGGTAAGATTTTTGCCTCTAAATAGACATTTTATAATAACAGTTATCGTTCTGAATACAAAGGTGTTATATTCTCATTGTGGGAAATTGGGGAAATATAGTCATAAAAAGAATAGAGAACTTTCCCAGAATCCTACCTATAAATATTTTATAGGTAGATATTTCTTCCTATAAATATTTCTAAATAAAATTAAAATCAATTATATGTAAAAATTTTATTTCATCCTTTTTATAGTTAACATTTTAACCTGATTATAAAACCCAGAAGTAGTTATATCCAAGGTGATGATTAACTGCTGTTTAATTCACCTATATTCCCAGTATTGGAAATTTAGCTTATTTAAAATTTTTTTGTTCTTACAGTTAGTACTTAAATATAAAACCTTCTATCTGGGAGTGGTGGCATACACTGTATTCCCAGCAACTCAGGAAGCTGAAGCAGGAGGATCTCAAGTTTGAGGCCAACCTGTAATTTAGCAAGATCATCTCCAAATAAACCCAACATCTCCATCCTAATCTTTTCAGACTAAAATATCGCTTACCATACCTACCTTTCCCTCCTTCAGGTTAGTCTCGTACTTCAGGAACTTGGGAATGAAGCTCAGTGGTAGAGCAACCCTGGGTTTAATTCGCAATACCATATATACACACAAAACAAAGGTGGAATTACTAACTCAAAAGGCATGAGCTCTTTAAAGATTTGATGCTACATATTGCCAAATTGTTTTCCTAACAAGTCCTACTAAATTAATAACCTTGTTGGCAAAGTATGTGAGGACTTATTTTATTGCTCTTTTATAAACATTGCATGTCACTACTTTTTTTTGGCGGGGGGTGGGGGCGGGGGGGCACTGGGGATTGAACCCAGGGGCTCTACCACTGAGCTAAATGCCCAGTCATTTTATTTTTTTTATTTTGAGACAGGGTCTCACTAAGTTACTGAGGCTGGCCTTGAACTTGTGATCCTCATGCCTCAGCCTCCTGAGTCACTGGGATTATTTTTCAAAGGTGGAGATATTCTCAGGGCCTTCTGCATAGTAGGCAAGCACTCTTGCCACTGAACTATGCCCCTAATCCCATAATTTATTTAACGAATCTCTTTTTTTGAAAAACACTATAAAAAATATATAGGTGCTATTTTGCATATGTATGATAAATTCCTAGAACAGAAATTGTCCCACCAAAATTATGGCCTACAATAATGTGAACATCTTCTAAAGATGGACCATGGGTCATAGTTTTTGCTCCCATAAAAAATTTGCACTGGGTACCCCTGTATACATGGCTTCTTATGCATGCACATGTATCAGAAAGTAAATTGCTAAGTGTGGAATGGCTTACTCAAAGGACTTGGATTTTAAATTTTAACAGATATGACTAAATTCCTGTCCAAAAACCACAGGTCATGAGCTTTAAGTTTATTCATATTTTCACCAACATAGCATATTATTCGATTTTCTGGGTTTTGACAGTCTGCTAGGTGAAAAAAAAAATGGAAATTGGGTGTTTTGACTTACATGTATTTAATTTAGGTTGAATATTTGTTAATCTTCATCAACTTAATTAAGAGATTGTACTATGCATTTTTTAATATATATATTTTAAATATTTTACAGGAATGAGCTCTGTAACTACAACCTACTCTCTCTCTTAATGAATCTAATTTCTTCTGTACTTTAAAAAAAAAAAAGAGGTGGGGCCAGGTGTAGTGACGCACACCCATAATCCTAGAGGCTGAGGCTGGAGGATTGTGAATTCAGATACAGCCTCTGCAACTTAGCAAGGCCCTAAGCAACTCAGCGGGACCCTGTTTCTAAATAAAATACAAAAAAGGGCTGGGGATGTGGCTCAGTGGTTAAGCATCCCTGGGTTCAATTCCCAGTAGCAAAAAAAAAAAAAGTGGGAAGAACTAAATTAGTAAAACTAACAATATGGGGCATGTATGAAGACAATGGATTTGTTCATGTGGTTTGCTTCATTTAACAAATGCATTGTGCCAGGGGTGCTTCCAGTGCCTGGAAGCAGTGGTGTGGCATCTCTAGGCAAAAACAGTAAGTATAACTCATGGCAGTTGGTAAATTGAGAAGGAAAAATAACAACTTTAAGTGCATTTTATGCCATCCATAATTTTTTTTCTCTGTGTGGAAGTGTAAGTGAAGATTCTCTTTAATTTTTGTACATCACAGCAATTAAAAATGTTTAGTTCTAGCTGGAAATGGTGGTGCATGCTGTAACCCTAGTGACATGGAGGCTGAGGCAGGATAATTATGAGTTTAAAGCCAGTCTGAACAACTTAGTGAGAACCTGTCTCAAATTTTAAAAAAGATCTGGGAAGTAGCTCAGTGGTAGAGCACCACTAGGTTCAGTTCACAGTATTAAAAAAAAAAAAAATTTATACACACACACATTCTTATAGATATATAGATACACACACACATTCTGTTTTTCAGGGTTTTCTGAAGGTGCCCATCTGGTGGTACCAGCCTCGTGGTCACTCAGGACACTGGGAGAGTCAAGACCAGCCTTGTACCTCTTCTCAAGGCAACGGCTGGAGAGCTGCTAGCACCCAAGGTGAGGACAGAATTAAATTTCCACAGCCAGCCTGTCATGGAGAAGTGAAATGCCGCTTCTGCTCTGGAGTTAACAGACATTTATTTGAAAAATGCAAGGTTGAAAACCAAAGCCTGTTTATTCCTTTTTAATAATAACAGCACCACCTGATCTCATGCAGTGCTTTGCAACTCTGTAAAGCACTATATCTTAATATTATATCAATATATGATACTTTTTCAAAGATCTTTTAAATATCAGCTCTCAAGATCCTCAGAGCAACAGAAGCCCCCTTGTCGCCATGTAGCAGAATGTTGGGGCTTCAGCCTGTTCCGTTGTCCACTGGGCAGAGGCCAGAGCTGGGGTTCACATCCTGTGTGTTTCGTCGTCTTCCCCCCCAACTGTCCCCAAGAACTGCTTCTAGGGCACCTGGCATTTCACTCCTTGGAGAAGAAATGCAGGAGTACAGTGTTGTCTCGTTCTTGGGTGCAGTGAACACGCTGCAGTGGGCAGAGTCCCTGGCAGTGACCAGACTGCCTTAGTGTGGGCTTCCACTTCCTCTGTCCACACCTTTTAATCTCTTCTGAAGGTAAAGAGACTTTGCTGGTGCTGGGCTGGGGATGGAGCGCAGAGCCTCACACATACAAGGCAAGTGCTGTAGACACAGAGCCACACCCTGAAGCCCAAGAAAATGTTCTTTTAATAGGGCCGAGTTTTCAGGTATATTTTTCTTTTTATTGTGCTTTGCTTAATTATTTAGCTTTTTTTGTGCCTTAAGGTATTATGTATTATAATTCTATTTTTTTGAACCTCTTCAGAATGAACTTAATATAAATGAGTCAGATTCTCTACTTATTGTTTGAAGTTAGGTCTATATATGTAGAGTAATAAAATATGTTAAAATAGCTGTGAAATCGACAAAGTTATTTTTATTTGGGTTGCATTTGTTTTTGTTAACGAATCCTAAAAATGCTTGGGTAATAAAATAGTAATTACATGCAGAGTTGAATTATAGATTTTTTAAAAGCATGCATAATCAGTATGTTTCTCCATGAAATTAAGAAGATTCATTTTTGATAATGCCTCTTTGTTATAACTAGAGGGAAATGTTTCATCCTTTCAGTAGCATCAGCCTTGCAGTTTCCTTGAGACACAAGACCACTCACAAACAGGGCTTTTTCGCTTTATCTACTTATAATTCATTTGTAATTTCTTATTATGTATTAGCAGTATAGCCAGCAGTAAACAAAACATTTCATTAAGGCAAAAATTACAGACAATATTCTGAATTTAAAATTTAGCAGCTTTTGGACTGGGGTTGTAACTCAGTGGTAAAGTGCTTGCCTCACACGCGTGAGACCCTGGGCTCAATCCTCAGCACCACATAAAAATAAACAAATAAAAATAAAGATATTGTGTCCATCTACAACTAAAAAAAAATATTTTTAAAAAAATTAGCAGCTTTTATATCCAGAGAGCATTTTAGTTTTCCCATTTTTGGAAAATACTCAGAAAGGCCTTCTTATTATTTAGATTTTCTTCATTCCACAAACAGTTATTGGGCCTTTAGTATGTGACACCCACCATATCAGGCATTGGGGAGACACACAAGACAGGTGGGCTGCACCCCTTGAAATTCCTGTTCTGTTTTGACAATGCAGAGGAAACTATATGTGCACACAAAAGAGGCTCCAGCTGAGATCAGAGTCATAAGAAAGAAGGAAGCCATGTCAAGAACACAGGCAGGGTGGCCTACCAGCAATGTCTTCTTTGAGGAAAGAAAGAATTTGGAAAAGAACATTATAGATAGATATTACCAGGGTAAGCTCCCCAGAACATTCTGCCATCAGCGTGCTCCCTGATTGTTAATTCACCAGGCAGTGAATTCTGAGGGAGCTCTGATTAAAGGGATTCAGATTTAGAGGTTCTTGAGTGACTTTTTAGTAAACCTGTTTACAATATCAAAATCCTTTACAATATCAAATAAACCCATTACAATGTCAAAATATGGCAGTGTCTTTCAGAAATATGAAATAAGTTTTAAATTCCTGCCAAACATCCACCTCTGTCCTTTTAAGGTGCCCCTGGCCATGTGCCTGCGGAAGTTTCTCTCGTCTACTTGGGAGATGTGGATATCTCAGAAGATGCTGCTTTGGTGGACCTGAAATCTCAGGTCAGACTTCTTCCTGTAGTGGGCCTTAGTGGTGATATGGCTTCTTCCAGTGAGATATTAATATGTTCTTCTATTTCCTTTCCCTCAATTGCAGTCTGTTCTGATATGGCACTTGCTCTGTGCCATGTTCAGGGGTAAGTACCAGCAGGCAGCGGACACCGCGGCCAGACAGCCCCGACTCTGTTTCCGCCTTTGCCCTCGTGGCTTTCACTTATTGACGCTGACAGGCATGCTGTGCTTGTGTTTGAATCTACCCTTAGCAACTCGTGGCTTATGTTCATTTTTATTTTTTAGGGAAACGTGGTTTATTGAAACATCCATAAAGCATTCACTTGACATTGTTTTGTACCGTCGTGAGCCATATGTTAAATGTCGTTAGATACAAGTTGTGTTATCAGTCTCCCATGGGGCAGGTACCAGCTTCTGTGTTAGGATGCTAAACTGGATGTCATGATGTTTTCTTGTGCTTTAATGAGCACAGAGAAGGCGAGTTGTGTCCAAATGGAAAGGCCAAGTGGAGCATAACCCAGAGAGCTGAAGAAGCATCTTGCTGTCATGGACAGATATGAACTTTCTTTTTACTTAAAGGAAAGTACACAGGGCCTCTGTATGCCTAGCAGTGGTTGGTGTGTGGCTCATGTGTGTCCTCAGTGTATGAGATAACATTCTTCCAGAAAGCCAGTCACTACGCCGGTGAGGACAATTGGGAAGATGCTTGTTTTCTTGCATTAGGTTAATGAGTGTTTGGGCCTACTTACTGGAGGCAAGGATTTTGAAGTATTTCAGGATGAGAAGTAACCTGGCTGGGAGTGCACATAGCCGGGAACTGTGCAGCACTCAGAGCGGCTCTGCTCTTGTGAATCACACGTAGAACTCCCTGTGGAGTTTGAAAACATGATTAAAATGCAGCTTTTGGCTCATATGTAGAAACAGGCAACTTACCTATTTCTCCAGCCAATTCAGCAGTGAGAAATATGAAAATTTTTTAGGATTAACTTAAGAGTTAGCTATTCCTGTTATTTTTCCTGGTACTGGGGATTGAACCCAAGGCCTCACTCTATCACTGGCACTACAGTGACATCCCCAGTCCTTCGGGGGATTTTGTTTTCGTTTTGTTTTTAATTTCATTTTGAGGCAAGGTTCTCACTTTATTGCTGAGGCTGACCTCAAACTTGCTGTCCTCCTGCCTCAGCCTCCCGAGTCCCTGGGATTACAGGTGTGCACCACTGCACATGGCTCCTGTGAGTTCTTAAATAGACTTTCTCATTACTTAAGGTGTGCTTTCCCTCCGGTGTCATTGTGTACTGCTTCATTCCGTTTGTTTTAATGAGTGTTTTTAAACCAGTGAAGAAATGTCTTTTTTCTTTGTCTAGGCCAGAGCCTTAACCCCTTCCTCAGAGCTTGCTGTCCCTGCCCCAGCCCTCCTCAGAGCCTGGACAGTGGAGAGCAGGCGCCCTGGCAGGCTCTTACGCACTGACCGGCAGCGGCTCAAGTAGGTGTCTTGCAGGAAGTTTGCTGTGTCTCTCTGCTACCCCTCAGGACTGGGTGGCCAAGGAGCCCCCATGAGGAGACTCTTCCTTTGAGTCAGGTGACAGCATCTGGGAGGCAGATGACACCTCTCACTGTTATTTAACTCTGGGATAACTTCATCTTTCCTCATTAAGTATAAATGTAGCTTTGTGTGTTTCTCCTGTGCTCCAGAGACTGTAACATAAAAAAATTTGAAGTGGAAGTTAGGAGCAAGCTGTCTCTCACTCAAGAAGTGTTTGCTCAGCCTTCTGGAACCTTGAATGAGCAGGTTGGGGGCATGGACAGTAACTGTCATTTGCCTTAGAAAAAGCATTCCTGTGGGATTCTTTTACATCAGTTCTGATTGCGAGCCAAATAGCAAGGGTGTGAGAATCTCAATCTTGGCCAAACAGTGGACCATTTCTCTGGCATCTTCACAGAGCACGATCTCCCTGTTTAGTCGGGAATGACCCAGGTCTCTAAATAATCCCCACAGCAAGTATTCTGAGTTTTCCCCTTTTCCAGAAGTTTGAGCATTCTTACATAAGAAAACAGCCTTTTGCTTAAGGAAAAAGCTTAAAACTAGCAAAAAAAAAAAAAAAAAAAAATCATTGTCTTGAAAAATCAAATGATATTCCCCCCAGTGTTGTTTTGTTCCACTTATTACCAGGGAATATAAACTAGGACGGAGACCCGAGATCTGCCTGGAGCCCCTTCAGGAGGAGGAGCAGCTGGGGTGAGTCCTCCTGCCCAGGTGGAGCCCTGTGCCCGTCTTCTCACCGCTGCTGGCCTCTCAAAACTCCTCAACCTTGACATCCGAGTGGTATTTCCCCACTACCTCTAAGTAGTCTAGCAACTTAAATCAGAGTGTATTCTGGAAATGTGTTAGGAGTTCTGGCGTCTGGAATTGAAACTCAGCCACCATAAAAACAGAGCCCCCCTTGCTCCCAGCTCCTGACCAGCCAGGCCCACTTCTGTTCCTGTCACCCACGCCACCCAGTGTGCTGCCCTGCTCTGGGTTAAAACACCATGTAACGGGACTGCAGTGTTGAGATCACGCCTCGTCTCTCCTCCTAGAACACGTCTCTCTCCCCTTTTTCCCATCCAGTTCTCACCTGTGGCTTTTACCTCGTATCCTGTAACGATGTCTGTGTGTCTAGGTTTTTATCCCTCCCTTTAAATATACTCTTTCTCCTCCCCCTGCCCAGGGACCTTTTCCTGCTGAGCTTTCTCTATCTGGTTCCCTTTCCCCAACTCTGAGCCCTGCATTTGTGCTCCCTGGCTGCCCCTCAGCATCCACATTTATAGTTCCTAATATCAAGTACATAATTGTGTGCCTCAAACTGTCTTTTTTTTTGTAGCTTCCCACTTCTGTCTCTGAACCAGCATTTCCTGGGGGGCTCCATGGCTTGAACCTGTCAGGCTGGCTCCTGTTCCCTTCCCCGCAGGAGTGCAGGTCCTGCCCAGGCCTCAGCTCTACCTCAGCTGCCCCTTTCCCCGCTGCTGCTGCCTCTCCAGGATCTGTGTTGGATGCAGGGCGGTGTCTTTGCTTCTGTTCTTCGTCAGGATTGAAGGAAATCCTGGGGAGAACAAAAGTTTCCTGCCAGCGTTGAGGGTGTAGGGGAGTCTGAAATAAAACCCAGAAGAGTTCTGGGATGCTTTGCCCCCGTGCCCACCCCACACCCTAGCAAGTATTGTGTGCCTGGTTGGTTCTGAACCTGGCATCCTGTTCTCTGTGCAGCCCCCAGGACGTACTGCTGAGGACGCAGATGCGCATCCCTGAGGAGAGGGCCTACGCCCCTGCTGTGGACTTGGTGTGGGACACCGCCCGAGGCTGGACCACCGGCTCCCTGAGGCAGAGAGTGGCTGATTTCTATTCTCTTCCTGTGGAGAAAATTGAAATTGCCAAATACTTCCCTGAAAAATTTGAGTGGCTTCCTATATCTAGCTGGGTAATGCTGTGGGGCTTTCCCAGAGGACTTGGGGCTTCCTGGCCTAGCAGTTAGGGCAACTGCAGTTTCTCACAGTGATGGGCTATTTAGTAAGAATCTGAGGTTGAATTTTATTTTTATTTAAGATGTTTGATTTTCCTATAGAACCAGCAAATTACCAAGAGGAAAAAGAAGAAAAAGCAAGATACTTTGCAAGGGGCACCCTATTACTTGAAAGATGGAGACATTATTGGTGTTAAGGTGGGTTGGTTAAAAGCAAATTGACCACTCTGACAAGACACAAGAATCAAATAACACCATAGAAAAGTTTATCAGATCGTTGAGACACAATGATCCCCATTGAGATCATTTCAGGTAATGGGTAAGAAAGAGAGAGGCAGATGTCTGGTAAGAATAGTGGAACCTTGACCTGAGAACTGTAAGGGACAGTGGAAGGAAATTTAGACCAATTCCACCTGTGACCATAGATGTAAAAATTCTAATAATAAAACACTAGCAAACAAGCCTGGCAAGCGTGTTTTAAAGATATTGCTATGTGATAACAAAATATATTTATCCAAAGAATGCAAGCATGGCAGTGTCGAGAATATACCATGGGATATACATATATATAGTAGCCTTCTCTCCTCTACCTGAGAGCGGGGCTGTCTATCCCATTGACTGAGGTGGTTTTTTGTTTGTTTGTGCCTTTGTTTTATAGGGATTCACCATTTTTTAAAATATATACAACTTTGGAATAGGAATTGTAATCATGCCAGTTTATTGAAAGAGACGATCCTGGTTATGATGTGGTTGTCTCCCAAGGAGGTGCACCAAGCAGCAGCCATCCCTTCCCAAAGTCACTGAGGCTAACACCCCAAGAGTCACGCTTTGAAATGTGACCACTCAGGTGGGGAAGCCCTTAACACCAGACTAGGGCCAGGCCAAGGAACTGCCCTTTCCTGCCCTGTGGCCTGGAGGCCTGCATTGTGGTTGAACTCCGAGGCAGGTAGCAGGAGGTCAGGGTTTACCACAAAAAGGATTCACAGGTAAAACTGAGGCTGAGTGGAGGGAACAGGAGAAGGAAGCTCTGTCACTCATCCTGCAGCAAAGGAGCCCTGAGGGAAATGCCAAGGTCGAAGCTCACACTTCAGCTATAGAAACACATTGATTTAAAAAAGTAACAGAATTTATAAAACAAACAGCTGTTCCCAGCACAGCAGATTGGAGACCTGCTGGTCAACGTGCATGGTTTCCACCTGGGTCCCCATAAAGCCCCTTTTGTTTGGCTCAGTCCCAGTGGGAGCATTCGTAGTGGAAGGCAAAGGTCAATGGCTAGAATTAATTTCCCTTGTGAAGCCCCCACAACTTGCTCTCATAAAACACTAGAACATTTTACATCCCTAATAATCTGGTTTATATTAATCTGAATATTTCCTTTTGTCATTTTAGGTGATTTTTTTAAACATATCTCTTTAAAATATAGGCTAAACGGATGTGGAGACGTTGCTCACTAGCTGTTTTACTCTTGAAATGTAGAACCTTCTGGTCGATGACAGTGACGACTTCAGCACAGCCAGAGACGATGCTGAGAAAGAGAAGCAGGAGCTGCTACCTCGGGGGAAGAGGGACAGGTAACTGGGGCCTCACACTCACCACGGCCTCCCCAGGCCCCTGGCTTCTTACTTCTGTTTGGAAAGTCTGGTGAGGACTTGTGCTGTGACACAAACCACTCTGCCACCCACCTTTTCATGCCTCCTGCAGATGGCTTCCTTATGGCGCTTCTTGTGGAGCGTGTGAAGTCCCTGGATAGCAGGAGTCATGGGGAGGCCTCCCACCTGCGCCCAGTTTGCACTCTCTTCCCTCCTCTCCTCTCCTGCCACCTTGCCCCGTTTCCTGGGTCTTTTTGCTCATATATACCCTCAGGTCCCCACCACCTAAAATTCCAAGACTCCTGAGCTGGTGTGCCAAGTCCCACCCTGCCACCTCCACCCTGCTGCTCCTGGCTACCTCAGCCTCACCATCTTCTCCAACTCTCTTAAAGGTTCCCAAAAGCCTGGCTGCTCTGCAGTGGCTACTCTACGTCCTCATCTTACTTCTCTGCACTGCTCAGTGCCTGTACCCTCCCCTAGTGTGCAGTGCCCCTTCCCACCGCCAGGGCCTCCTTCCCTCCACCTGTCCCATGCACACTGGCTTCCTGCATGTCCTTTCCCCACATGGCCTGCTGGACTCACTTCCACCTTGGGTGCTTGCTCTGCCACACTCTGAGTCTTCCCAGAGTCCAGCCCCCTTCTGTCCTCCAGGCCACACATACCCACCAGAATCTACTGGAGCACTTCACAGGCCTGCAACTGAATTCCTGAAGCTAGGTTCACTCTGCACGATCCTGCATTCCCAGCTTCCTGCTTCCTGTCTCAGTGAGGCTCACTCTGTCCACACTCTCCACTGCTTCTGCCTCAGATCTACCTGCCCAGTCTGGCCCCTGCTCATCTCCTAATTTTCACCTCTTCCCACCCTCCACACCTTGGGCAGCAGCATGCCTGACACATGCCTGCAGTGAGCGTGCTTTGCCCTCTGCTGTGGGACATCAGGCTGGAGGGGGCAGAGGCTCAGGCCAGGCAGGTCCATGTGGCTCAGAGTCTAGATATCGGTGTGGCTGGAGGGACTGAAGCAGGGAGTCCATAGTTCTGAGCAGCTGCTGGGCTGCTCTGTGTTGGATGAGTCATGGGGGAAAGAAGCAGGAGAACTCTTGAGGCAACTGTCACACTCGACATATGACGGTCACGTGTCGGGCAGTGAGGATGGAAGGATCTAGAATTCGAGCTCTCTAAGCAGGACGTTTCCTTCTCATTCTCTGCTGTATCCCCAGTACCTAGAACAGTGGTCAGAGCGTTGCAAGAAGTTTGTTCTGCAGGTGGGTGTGAACTTCCAGGCCCAGAGAGCTGTCTGTGCTGCAGTGTGCCAGGACACGGTGCTCTGCTTCCCTTCCCCAGTCCTTCCAGCATCGGCTGCCTCCAGGGAAGTCATCCATGTCTCCTTGAACCGCGGGCACCATCCTTCCTGCTCTTCCTCTTGCAGACGGTTCCTGGCAGCACTTTTTGCAAACAAAAGTTTGTGTAGCTGTCACCAAGAGTCTAACCTGCTGAGCCTAACCTGTCCTAGTCACATGGTATCAGAACAGTTGTGTCCTCAGAGCCACCACTCATGCCCTCCTCCATCCCAGCATTGTTGGGTATGTGGTGACCACGCTGATTATTATTTTCATTTTATTTTTGGAGAGTTAATAGTCACATGCTGCCAAATGCAAACACAATGAAGTGCCTGCACCTGTCTCCCCAGACAGTCCCCCCCCCCCCCAGGGACCAGTCACATGCACAGCCTTTGAGAGCACATGCTCTTCCTTCTTCCTTGACATGGGAATTTCCTGGTGCACTTGCTGCCCCTGGCACACGCTGGGAGTGTGGCATGCTGCTGCAGTGTGCAAGTGGACCCTCATTTAGGAAATGACACCCAACTCGCAGACTGCAGATGTGGGCCCATCTAGGGCTTGTTCTGTGAGTAGAGGGACTGGGTCAAAGGGTAAGGCTGTTGACAATCTTGGAAACATACTTGCAAATACATGAAGAGCTGATAGGCCAGCGCCCGGGAGGTCTGAGCAGACAGTTCGCAGAAAGGAAGCGTAGCCGCCTGCCAGCGCGGTACACTCACTCACTGATGAGAGACCACTCAGGTTGCCACACACCCCAGCACTGCTGCAGAGGGAAGCGCAGGGCTGGCGGCCTAGCAGGCATGCAGTGCCTGGGACAGTGTCCCCTGCTTGCGGGTATGGGTTCAGAAGGACCCTGGGAAACAAGGCAGCTCCTACACTGTTGAAGCACAGGCCCACCAGACATGGACCCAGGATACACGGCAGCTTGATTCACTATGGCCAGGTCCCAGGCATGGTCCAGATGCACAGCAGGGGACAGATCTGAGTCATGAGTGTCCACAAACACATGCGTGCGCACACAAGCCACACAGACATCAGATTGAGCAAAAGAAGCCAGACACAGAGCACCCAGGTTACTCCTGGGGGTGGGAGGTCACAGCAAGAACTAATCTGGGAGTCAGAGTGGCAGCGCTCTCAGGGCTGGCAGAAGCTGCCTCACATCCCACAGGTGTGAGCGTTTGTGAGGACAGGTGGAGCTGTGTGTGAAGTGCGTGCACCATGCATGTTAGAGTTGAGTTTAATGTGAAAAAAAGTAGGTGCTGCTAGTAGGCTGGAAGAGACCCAGAGTCTGGCAGGCTGGGTGGCCAGGGTACGGCAACCGTTGTCCCCTTCATGGGGTTGGCGGGAAGGTAAACTGGAGTCCTCTGGGGGGCAATCTGGAAATACCAGTCCATGCTGCAGACATGTCCCTGTCGGCCTGATCTAACCTGACCCTTGATATTGGGAGGTATGTTGGCGTCACCCTAGACCCTTCTGCACGAGGACCACAACCGAGTCATGATGGCTTCTGTCTCCCACAGCCAAGAAGTCCTTTGTGCACAGAGCAGTGATGTCTCCAGTGCAGGGACACCTGCCCGGCCCCGAGGACCAGAAGCTTCTCTGTCTATTCACGTTGGGAGCTTCAGATAGCGCTTGCAACAGGATGTGTCCCAGCACAGTGCCCAGGCTCTGCACAAGGCCAGCTAACCATCAGTGCCTTAGAAGCAGGAGAGTGGTTTGTGGGCAACGAGTTGGCTGCATCCTTGGATCTCAGATCCTCGTCTTCACCTGCCAACAGAGGGACAGCTTTTCTCAGGCTGGGCAAACGTACTCCATAGCTCAGCTCCGCAACATACCTTGGCCCATGGGAGCCAGCACAGACCCAGGTACTGTGCAGGAGCCACGCAGGTGTTGACCTCACGCCACACCTGACCCCAGTGGCCATTTTTCCAGGAAGCTTACCACTTGTGCATTAACCACAGGTATGGACAGGTGGCTTATTGCTCAACTCAAGATAAACTTGTGTAAGATCCACACCTGTATAGTTGCTTCCACTTTAACCTGCATTGAAGTGGGTTCTGATGGTCTGTCCCATGCTGCAGGGGGCGCTGTGCTTGTTTATATCAGAAGGAAAGGGTAACCTGTGCCTCCCAATCTCCGCCCCCCACACGGTTCTCTCAGGTGACACGTTTCTTGTCAGAGCTGTGGCTCTGACACACAAAGCACACCGCCACAGAGAAGAAAGCCTCAGGTAAGGCCCACCTTGGGGTCTGAGGTCAGAATACTCTTGCTGCTGCCCGCAGCTCCTTGGCCTCTCCCTCTGGAAGGCTGGTATGAGGCAGGACCAGGGGACAAGGCCCCACAGTTGTGGGTTCCCAGATGTCTTGGGCAGGCTCAGTTGACACTGAGTAGCCTCAGTTGATTAAAGCAGACGGGGGGAAAATGTAAAATTTTTCCCCTTAATTCAACACAGGTAACTATTCAATTTAAATTAAATTTAAATAGCATTTGAGAGCTAGCACTGCATTAGAGTTGACCGATCTAGGGTGCTGGACTGGCAACATCTCCAGCACATTCCTGAGTTGTCATGTACATGCTCCCCCTAGTGGTCACTTGTATTTCAGTTCCCCATCAGCCCTCACTGCCTAACACTAACACAGAGCTGAGGGCCGAGATGGGGAGGCGCTGACCATGCAGCTTGGCACTTAGGCTGCAGCCCTGGCTGAAGGCTGTCCTGCTGTGGCTGCTACCTTCTCAGCCCTGGATACTCCGCAGGTAGCCCTGCTTCCCCCTTCCCAATCCCCCCAACACCAGGTGTCTTCAGTCTTTGTAGAAGCACTTGGGCTCAGACCAACAAGCCAGGGGGTTGTGCAACATGGAAGTCAAGGCCCAGTCCTCTAGACACGCCCCGAGGGGTGCGATGATGTGTGTGAACTAGGCCTCAGTCCTGTGGCTCCTGCCCAGGCCTGCTGTCAGCTGCTGTGTCGGCTACTGAGGGCATTTTCCCAGCGTGCCTTCATCCCATCTTAATATTAATGTAATAGCTGAAACATTCTGCTTTGAGGAGCCAGAGGCCTTCCCAAACCTCTGAAATATTCTCAGTGCTGGCCAGCAGGGGGCGCCCACCTGGGTGCTTGCTGGGTTTTGTTTTTGTTTTCCAACTGGGCATGGGGAGAAAGCTAAGATTTTAAGGAAAAAAATAAGCCATTTTTAAAGTTGTAGTCTTCCATTTCCTTTATACACATCTGCTTCGTGTTCTACTTGCTTGAGATAGGCTGTAAAGGCCTTCTTTCCCAGGTCCACGTCAAATGCTAAATAAACATGGCTTGCATTTAGAAGTAGCGTGCCAGTGCGGCTTTGGAAATCAAACAAGTATGTTTGGGTTTTAAATGAATCCAGATTCATGGGAAAACTGTAGTGGAAGAAACTGGATGTCTTCTGGTCCTCCTCTTTGTCAGGGTAGGGCTGGCGGAGGAGTGGAGCCGCAGGAAACGTGTTTGTTCAACTGCGACGTTCTGGCAACAGGAATGGGGCAGGGCAGGGGCAAAAGTTACTAATAATCCAAAATTGTGGTTTCACTGACACTGGTTTCCCTTGGGAACAGACTCGACAGCAAGGGACCCGTGATGACGGCACCTTCACCTATCTGGACAGGGCACTAGCAGCCCCTCAACTAACTCCTCCCACATTTGAAGCATGGCCCTGGTGGGGTTTAAAACACAGCATGTGGCACTGCGCCTGTCCTCTTTAGGGAGGCACCACAGGGCTGAGCGCCTTGGCCCAACCCAACTTCCCACCCCCCAGGCTCAGTTTTTTAACCCGGAGACCGGACCCCACGGTGGCTTTCCGTTTTGCTTTTCAGCACCCAAAATTCATTCAGCCCATATTTAGAGCAGCTGAAAAAAATCTGAATTCAGTTTGGCAACCAGTATTTTAGTCAATGCACAGGAAAGTTGATAAGGACTCGGGCCATGACGATCAAAACAGGCTGGTTTATTTATACACAGAACAAAGTATTTACAGCTCTGCTGGGCTATGTACATAACAATACAAGAGGCGGCTGCTTTCTGGTGGCCACTATATAAATTAAGATTATAAATAGAAGGGTGAGCCCCAACCGGGCACAAGGCCTCTTCCCCAAGACCTAAGCAGCCCCTCCCTTCCCTACATTCTTTGCCCTGGGACTCTGAGCAGCTGACCCAAGAAAGGCAGAACAGGAGGACCATGGCCTCGGCCCCAGGCGTGTGGCACAGGCCATCAGTGCTCCTCATAGGCCCTTCTCTGCCGACTCTGAGAACTATGGTGCATTTCTGTGTGACCAGTGTTGTAGTCACTGACAACACCAACTGTAACACCCCCAGCCCAAACCCAGTGCTTCCCCCAGAGGAAGACTGAGGACTTGAGATGGCCCCAGTGCAACTGTCGGCTGCTTCTTGTGTCCCCTTCTAGCTTAAGGTCCAGTCTGACCCAGGGCTTGTAGTACCACGGGCACAGGATTGTCACCTCCACGGCTATCCTTTCCCACTTGGAAATCAAGTGTCTCCCAGGGCTGGATGACTACTGTCTCCACCAACACTACCTCAGGCAGGCGGCAAAGTCCATGCTCGGTCTCCACCCAGGCACCCACGCCACTGGAATTGGGCCTGAGAAAGGCCCAATGGTAGACACGCTGACTCCACACTCGACTGGAGCCCGGCCCCCAGCAGGACCACTGTGGGGAGTGTTCGCAGGGCAGAGCACACAAGACCCTGCAGACCCTGGACAGTCCACACACCGCTCAGCAGGTACCTCTGAAGTGCCCCGAGCAGCTCCCCACCCAGCCTCCCCACATTAGATGGGGTGACCCCACTAAAGGGCCGGGCGGTGCATGGAGACACTCATACACTGCCTTCTCTCAGGTGTACAGCTGCAGCCTGGCACCTTCCTCAGGAGGGGGCTGTTACAATGTTACAAGACCTTTCCGGGTGGCATTACAAGCCCCCAGGGCAGCTTCCTAACAACCAACTTCAAAAAGGAAAGAAAGGGCTGAGTCGGTGGCAGTGAGGACCAAGGGCAAAGGACTCAGCCCTGCCCTGGGGCTGGAGCTAGATCCCTGAACAGAGGCAGGGCAGGAGTCCTGGGCCAGAGTCATCCAGCCCAGGGAACCACTTGATTTGGCCCAGAGTCTGCAGACAACCTTCAGGGACACCAGGTCTGGTAGCAGGAGACTAGATGCTAGCCCATGGCCCGAGAATCTGGGCCTCCTGATAGGAAGAAGGACCCAGCCCACCCAGGGACGTGCTCCTGGAAACCCATACACTCTCCCACAGAACAGACAGCTTCCCCAGACCTGGGAAGCTTCTCCTCCCCAGAAGTACTGAGCTAACCCCAACCCACACACCCTTGTGGCTCCAAGCAGGACTCCTGAGGTCCATGGTATCCTGTAGAAAGGAGGGATGTCCACGCCCACAGCCTAAGAGAGGATGCAGAGGAGGACCGCAGGCCTGCAGTGAATGAGGAAGGCCTGAGAGCTGAGGAACAGAACCACGCGCTGCCTTGGCTGGACGAGAACTTTGCTCCCCTCCTCTTTAGAGCAGGTTAAAGCAAACAGAACTCAAAACAAGTCCGTTCACTTTCAAGACCAGCAGAGTACACAGCCTTTGTTAGAAACAAAAACCTTCTGAATGAACAGGGCAGTAGCAGTGGGCTGCCTCGTGGGGCTGCTGGGAAGAGCCACAGGGTGGCTGTCAGGCACAAAGAATGTTCTGGCAGGGGCCCACCACGCACTGAGCCCAAACCATGCTTCTGAGAGCCAGCAGGGGCAGAGATGGTGCCACCAATGTGGCCAACAAAGCACACGCAGAGGGGCCCACAGGGTAACCCAGGCTCAGGGCCTAGGCAAGTTTCTGCAGAAGCGTCTGGTACCCAGAGTCCCTGTGGCCCACGACAGGTCAGTGAGAGCCGAGACTGGGCAGGACTCTGAGCTGGGAAAGGTGGTGTTTCAAAGGTAGCTGTGTTGGTATGTTCAGGACTCCTGGAGCTGTTATGGACGGGAGTCAAGAGCGGCTTCCTGTCACTAACAAAGGGAGTAGCACCATGAGAGGCCAGGGGCAGTCCTCCCTGGGCCTCAGTCGCGGGAGGAGCGGAGGATGCAGGCCGAGAAGACAGAGGCTAGGCCTCGGTGGCAGGGGAGCCCCGGCTCAGTTCCTTGATTCCACACAGGATCCTCTTCATGTGTCCCACTTTGGTTACGCCAAGGTCCTGCAACAGAGAGGACAGCCACCATGGATGCCAGGAAGGGGGCCCAGACCAAAGGGCTCTACAGATGGGTCTGCACAGCGGACCCTTCCCACTCTGCTTCTTGAGCACAGATGAGGGTAAGAGAGACAACAACAGTGGAACAGACAGAAATGGCACAAATCACGATCGCAGGGACACCTAGCACACCGTTCCTGTGTCCTCCAAGTCACTGACGCCGTCAAGAAGGATCCAACAAGACAAAAAAACAAAACACAGGCCTAGGAGCAAGTGGATGGCAGGTGGCCTCAGGAGAGGCACTGCTAAGAGGGGCGGTGGCCTTTTGCCTTCTCAGGACTTGGCCAGTAACAATGCCCAGAAGACAGGCTACACGGGCTGACTCTACAAGTCAAGGGCAGTGGGTGCAGACCCAGGGGCACATGCACGAGGCGAGCTGCCTCAGCACCTGCCCAGGAGCAGCACAAAGAAGTCACATTATGTGACAGGGCTCCAGAAATCCTTCCACTCACAACTTAACCACAGAGGACCCCACACACCACTAGGCACCGGAGCTCTTCTGCTAAGTGTGGGAGCCTGGGGCTGGACCCTCTGGGGCTTCTGAGGTCACACAGCCCCTTGTCAATATGGCCAAGCAAATCAAGACTCCCCCCAGTGTCTGCTCCTAGCTTCTCCTGGCTGTGGCAGGTGCAGCCATCACTGCCAAGAACCGTGCAAAACTTCAGGATGCTAGGACCTGGCCAGGAGCGGGTAGAGGACGGAGCTGAGAGGGGCTACCAGGAAGCCCCATGCAGGTTCCAAGAAAAAGCCTGTGAAAGTACCTTGAGGTCCCTCCGCTCCAGGTGCAGGAGCTCAGAGCCCCGGATGTCGTGCCGCGTGAAGATGTCCTTATACTCACAGAGACTGAGGTGCTCCAGCCAGGCAGCCACCTCCTCTGTCCCCCAGAGGTGAACTGTCGAGACGGAAAAGCACGAGTGCAGTGAGTGCCCAGAGCCCAGCGCACGGACAGCCAGCGCCCGAGATGCCCCGGCAGTGGCGCCCACCACCCAGCCACAGGCAAGCACCCTCCCGTAGTGCAGTGCAGAAGAGACAGGAGCCACTCGCTCGGGTGTGAGCAGCAGGAGTGCTGGCGTCTGTTCCTGCCAGGTGGCCACTCCCATGTCCCAGGAGAGATCAGACACCACCCAGTCCTGGGGGGAACACCTTTGTGTGGCCAAAAGCCAGTGTTGGCTCTCACGGCTGGACCATAGCAGGAAGGGAGAGAGGCAGTTAGACTTTCCAGACTCAGCCGCCATCATGAACAGAAACCCAATTTCTGGTCAAACATGCAAAGAACAACAATCAAAAGAGCTGCCCTGAATGGTGGCAAACGCGCCCAACAGAGTCCAGGTCGGGGCCCGCACAGCACCCAGAGGGCTACACACAGCTCAGTGCTCAGCCAGCCCTTCGGACAGAGATTGTAAACCCCAATTTACTGACCCTGAGGAAAAATGTCCTTTTGGATCATTTTCTATTGATTTCATCACCCACGATCACTGGTGGCCTGGGGTTCCTGGCTTAAAGACCTTGATCAACGAATCAATCAAACAGGAATCAGCAGCTTTTCACAAGGAGCAGGCAGAGGACCCCAGCACAGTCTGAGTCCAGAGTTTTATGTCTCCAAGTCTGTCTTGTCACCTCTGCTGTCCTCCCTACCTCAAAGCCCCAACTCAAGGCATACAGGTCAGTGTCTCATCACCCTGGGTCTCCATGGGGGAGCAGGGCATGACAAAAGTACCCAGCCTAGACAGGGAAAGCAAGCAGGGGGAGGTGCTGCAGCTGAGACAGACCTGTGCAGTCACGTGACTGGAAGTCACAGCAAAGGGACCACAGGGAACGGCCTCGCAGCCGGGGGAGAAAAGCAGAGGCCAGGACCGCTGGCATGGACAGACAGAAACACGCAGGAGAAAGGCAGGTACCCGGGGCTCCCAGGCTACTGTAAGCTTCTTTGTTCTTGTTGTTTTTCTCCTTTTTAAATTTGGTCACCAGGCGGAATTTACCACTGCGGCTGCGTTTGGAAAGATCCAACATCACATTCTGTTGGGGAGAAGGAGAAACACTGGGCGTCAGACCCTACCTTATCGAGGCCTCGGTCATGCCCTACAGAGGCGGGGTGGAGGGAGGGAGGGGTAGGAAGAGACACCTCCTCCTTTCTTTTGGTTTTATTCCCTAACTTGTCCTTGTATGTACTACTGATCTTCATGTCTTTTAAACGTTTTAAGTGGTCATTGTCATATCATCTATTTTTACATTCTACTTTTTTTAACTTTTATAACATTGGCATTCTTCTCGTGACTGAAAGCATTTTTGTAAATATTAACTACCCCTACATGCCACTATATGAAGATGATTAAAACAGACCGTTCAGCCAGTCTTCTCGTGTTGGATCACGAGGTTTGATGACCAGTGTTGTACGCTGCCTTTCTAGATGAGGCTTTTCCTGCGTCCTGCCTCCTTTCCTGGGGATGCACTACCTACGCTGGAACAGCTGGGGATGGGGGACAGAGCCACAAAGAAATGGGGTCCTTGTCTTGCAGTCAGCAACAGCCACTCCTCCACAGGATGTCCCCAGGGACACAAGGAGGCAAAGGTACTCGTTCTGTGACATGCTGTTTATAAGAGAGACGCCATAAATAAAGCTTGAAAGTATAAGCATGGGAGAGAATATACCAAGCAAGTAGACTTGAAGATTAAAAGGCTCGTTACATAATGACAAAACCTATGTGTACCTAATACCATAGGCTCAAAATAAATACTGTAAACATGTACAGAATCAGAAAATTTGAGAGACATCTGTAATTCTGGTCACAGTTATATAGTAATTGATAAATCAAGAAAAAAATTACAGCCAGGCGCAGTGGCACACAACTGTAATCCCAGTAACTCAGGAGACCAAGGCAAGAGGCTCGCAAGTTCAAGGCTAGCCTCAGCAACTTAGCAAGACCTTGTCTCAAAATTAAAAATAAAAAGGGCTGGGATGTAAGCTCAAAGTAGAGCACCCCTGGATTCAACCTCCAGTACCAAAATGTATGTGTGTGTGTAGGGTATGTGTGTGTGTAGAAAAACTGTCAGAAGGGACTTGACAATGTAAACAACACAACGGCACACAAGGCTCATTTACAAAACCAAACACCTTCTGGACCACTGAGCAAGTCGCAGTAAATTTCAACAGAATGTGTCTCCAAGCACAGTGAAATTACACTAGGAATTGACAACAAGAACACAATTAGAAAAATCCCATACACTGGAAAATAGAAAACATACTTCTAAAGAACTCATTTAGATGCTTATTTAGCACATTTTATGACTACTATAACCATAAGTAGCATTAAGTCCATAACTACATAGTTATTTTCCAGTATAAAGTGGCCCTCGTCTGTTGTCTTAGATACATAATTCTATTTTAGCATTGATACACACAGTCCCCAACTTAAAATCATGAGACTTACAATGGTGCACAGAGGTACCCCACCACCATTCCATTCTCACATTCGGGAATGATTTCATGAGATAGCATACTGAACCATAAAACAGACTTCATGGGAAGCAATTTCACCAACTGCAATTTTCTGAGCATATTTACGGCAGGTGAAGCTGAGCTCCAATGTCTGACAGGGCAGGTGTATTCAATGCATTTTCAACCTACCATCTTTTCAACAATGAGTTTATTGAGAACATAACCCCCTGTAGATCAGGAACATGTGTACTGTTATTCTGGATGTTTTTACTATGCCTTCTTGAAATTGTTTCATTTTCATCTGTCATAAGTTGTTTTTTTTGTTTTGTTTTGTTTTTTTAGATTGGGGGTACAGGAAAGAAAACAGGGCCATGAACAACAATATATGGCCAGGTTTCTTTTGAACACAATCTGAGGATAATCTGCTTTGAGGAGAAAGACCTATCATTTTTCTCTTCTTATTTCTGTGCTATTAGCTACATCCTTGCTAGTCCCTTATTTTCTTGTACAATTTAAGAGTGTAATCTATTTCTGTCTTGTGTTTTGTTGGAACCAGGGATTGAACTCAGGGGTGCTTAACCACTAAGCCACATCCTCAGCCCTTCTTATACTTTATTTTGAGACAGGGTCTTGCTAAATTGTTCAGAACCTCACTTAGTTGCTGAGACTGGCTTTGAACTTATGATCCTCCTGCCTCAGCCTCCTGAGCCACTGGGATTACAGGCATACACCACTGTGCCCAGCTTCTGTCTTGTGTTTATCCAATAAGACATAAATCTATTAATTTAATCTATTATTATTCTATTAAAACTACCTTTAAGTTTTTTAAAACATGACTGACTACATTTCTCTATTACCAAAGGCATGAATATTGTTTTTGACTTTTTTCCATCTTAGGAAGAGGAATTTAATGTGCTTCCAGACCCTATCCATATCCTTTCCCGGCCCCTCCTCACCATCCACTTTGTTGGCTTTGATCATTTATAGGACCACTGTTGAATATTCTACATAATCATCTTAGTAATTTTAAGTGAAAATCTGTATCACATTTACAATGAACTATTTAATCAATTTTGATGAGCTTGTTTTTTCCTTTTATACCAAAATATCTCCAGTCTTAAGTTGCTGGGTTTTGCAAATTGCCTGACTGCCTCCGTGTCCCACAAAAGGTCTGCATGTGCTGACCAACACCTGAGGGTCTGAGAGGAGTGCTGACCGCTGCTGCCCGCCCCTGCCACTGCTGCCAACAGGCCCCAACAGAAGCATCTGACACAGGGGTCTGAGTGCGAGCCTACTAGTTAGGGTCCCATCTACCCCAGCTATTAAACCTGCAGCCAGCTGGGTGTGCACAGAAGAAAAGTGTGAGTGGGGAGTGAAGATATCAACGTGTCCCTATCAACAGTGAAATTCCATGAAGCTGCCATAGTTTTTCTTTCTTCCTCCCCACCCCCCACCCCCAGTGCTGGGGAAAGAACCCAGGACCTTACACATGCCAGACAAGTGCTCAACACTGGGCCACATCACCAGCCAAAGCTGCCATTTATCCAATGGATGTGTCTCCACACGAGCAAACTGGGGCTGGGCTCTGCCTTCTTCCTACTTACCGCCCAATCAGTCCTGCAGCTGTTTTAGAGAACAGTGTGTGCCCAGTGGTCAAGGGGTCTCTCAACCCCAGCCCCAGCCCATTCCTAGGCACACAATCTCTCCCTGCCAGGAAAGACGTCTTAAAAAGAAGTCTCGAGGATGCTACCAGTGGCTGGAGATCCAGGCAATCCCAATCCCAAAGCTGAAGGGTCCATTGAATGCTGGCAAGTGCTACATGTCCAAGGGGCACCACACCAAAGCCTCAGACCACATACCTCTTCATCACCAGGCTCTGTGGGCTGGCAGAGCCAGGGCGTATCTGCCAGCTTCCTAAGCTGCCGGTCCATCTCGGCGAGAGCAGCACCCAGCCGCTCCTTCTGAGGAGGGTCCAATTGCTGCTCCAGTAGGAGAAAGAGAAACACAGCTGCTGGCCACAGCGAGACACCAGGGCCAGCAAAGCCCAGGCAGCCGAGGCGCTCAGACTGCTTACGCTTTCCAGAAATGAAGCCCCAGGCGTGGGGACAACCCCAGGACCCCCTTCCTAAGCAGTGTCTGTGGAGGTGAGAGGCGGACTCTGCTCTGGTGATAGGAAGCCACATGCCCTACGTGGGCTGGCATCTGACCTGTTCAGGCTCCCTGTCTCCTTTCCACCTATGCCAACTGCAGAAATGCTGGGAGCAACTAGACAGCAGCATGACACACAGGGGCAGCACAAGGTCCAGGTACAGAGTGGACTGTGACACTAGCCTGGGAGTCCCAGCAAGTCCTTCCCACATCCTCCTTTTACTCCAAGGAGGCTGGCCGGCCCCCATTCTAGCTTCTGCATGGGGCTCCCCCAGGGCTGGTTGGGGCAGGCGACAGCCCAGCAGGTCTGCTCCTTGAGAAGGGAGGGTTCAGTGCCCACAGGGCCTAAGGGAGAAGCACATTACCTACCACCAGGCGCTGCCACAGGCCCTCTGCCATGCTGAAGATGACCTGGTTGAGGTGCTGCCAGGGTCCAGGTGCTGACCTCAGAGGCCCCTTCCTTAAGGCTGAGAGCCCTCAGTGCCCAATGCCCTGGAGATAACAGTTACCTCCCATAGAGCTAGAGCCCTGCTGCCCCCCGTGTCAGCTCACCAGGGCCATCTTCCCAGACAGCAGCAGCTCCGTCTCGCTGCGCAGAGCCCTGATGTTATTCACCATCTCCAGGACAAAGCTGCAGTTCAGCCCCTGAGAGGAACCAGAATGCACATCCATGTAGAAGGCCACGGGCTATGGAAGTCACAAAGGCCAGACCTGGGGAGACCAGTACCTCCGCAGCCCTAGGCTTGCCATACACTCGGTCCATGGCCTTGGAGCTAGCGTTGACGGCATGAGCGAGCTCCTGCTCCACATCCCGGTGGCACTGGGCTACTTCCCGGATGCTAGAGAGGAAGAGAAACACAGCTTGCTTCAGGCCAAGGGCAGGACGGCCCTTTGCACACTGGTATGAACATAGTCCAGGACACCAAGACAGCAGAATGCAGGCCCAGTGCAGCAGGCCAGTGGGGACTGCGGCTCAGCTATGCTACCACACACAGGTACAGCCACTGGCCCAGGAAGACCTTGCCAGCTGCCTCCTGATCAACAGCCGACAGCGGACAGTTTAAAAAGGACACCTGACATCCAGAGCCCAGCTTTTCCAGTGAGGAAAACGCACAAAATGAGGCTCAGACCTTGAAAACAGCAAGCAGACAGCAGGCCAGCATGCAAAGCCACATAGGAAGACCCCAGCAGGGCCACAAATGGGCCAGAGGTGCAGACGCTGCAGGAACCAGAGCTCCTCGAAGGCCCAATCCTGGCCTGATGACTGGCTGAGCTTGTAAACCCAGAGTGGAGCCCTCCAAGGGGAGACAGTGAAGGCACAGCCAGGGCACCTCTGGGAAGCTGAGGTGGGACAAAGGGGGACATGGCAGTGCAGGGAGAGGCCAGGGGAGCACCCCACCCTGACCGACCAGGGAAAAATGCAGCACTGTAGAAAGCACTACTCCCAGCAGGCCCCTGGGCCACCACAGCCTGTAAGGGAGCCCGTTGCCCAGCAAGCAGCTGAACGAATATGTAAGGCCAAGTACGCCCCCAGCCCCATGGCCGACCAGAGGCAGAGAAGGGGGAAAGAAGGGTGGCCCCCCAGTGGGAGGTGGGAACAGCAGCAGTTGCTACCCACCAAGGAGAGAAGGCGGTACAGGACAAGGACATGTGGCCAGTATGGACTAGAAACGTCTCTGTGGGAGGGACCAGATAGCAACTAACCTATAGGACAAGAGCCTAGAGTGGGGAGCCTGGCCCGCGGCCACCCCTCACATCAGGGCTACCTGGGAAGGGCAGACCCAAGGGACCCAGCACA